GCACCGGCCAGCAGACACCGCCAGGCTGCATGCGGTGTGGGAGGAAGCCTAAAGGCTCTGCACCGTCCGTGAATCGGAAGGAATGTACTGTAAAGAAGCTGTGCCTGAGGGTAAGGCTTAAGAAGATTTCTGTACCAGCGGATAAAATGGGAGGGCATAGAGTGCCGAAGGCGGCGGGCGAGAAGCCACACAAGTGCACGGAGTGCGCGAAGTCGTTCTCCAAGCGGTCCAATTTAGAGATACACTGCAGGACGCACACGGGCGAGAGGCCGCACGTGTGCGAGGAGTGCGGCAAGGGGTTTACACAGCGCTCTAACCTGGACACTCACTCTCGGACGCACACGGGCGAGAAGCCGCACGAGTGCGGCGAGTGCGGGAAACGATTCACGCGTCACTCCAATTTGGAGATACACTGCAGGACGCACACCGGCGAGAGGCCGCACGTGTGCCCCGAGTGTGGGAAGGGGTTTACGGCTCACGGTGATTTAAATAAGCATTCTCGAACGCACACGGGCGAGAAGCCGTTCGTGTGCGAGGAGTGCGGGAAGAAGTTCTCGAAGCGTTACAACTTAGAGGCCCACTATCGACTGCACAGTGGGGAGAAGCCACACATCTGCAAGGAGTGCGGGGAGAGGTTTTCGAAGCGCTCCACCTTGGAGAAACACTCGAGGACGCACACGGGCGAGAGGCCGTACATGTGCGAGGAGTGCGGCAAGAGGTTCACGCAGCGCTACAATTTAGAGATGCACTCCAGGACGCACACGGGCGAGAAGCCGCACCTGTGCAACGAGTGCGGCAAAGGGTTCTCGCAGCGCTCCACTTTAAAGAAACATTCTATAACGCACACGGGCGAGAGGCCGCACATGTGCCAAAGGTGCGGAAAGGGTTTTACGACGCGCACTTACTTAAATAAGCATTCTGGAACGCATGCAAGTGAGACGCTAACATCTTGAAAGGAGTGTCGCAAGGGAATAAAATCGCACAACGTGCAATTTCAATGTTTCCCGACCGTGGAAACCATAGTGGTATGAAGCTATATGGTCACTTGTAAATAGTTAAAAATAGTTCCTAAATGCATGGATCAGAAGCGTAAGAATCAATTCAATACCTGAAAAAGTTTTACGTCTAATCTACTATATCTCCGATGTTTATCTTTAATTGATAGCTGCTTATGACCAAATCGCCTGGCACCTCGCATCTGCCCAATCACCAGATGTCAGAAACTAAGTGAGTTTGAGCCTGGATCGTGCTTTGATGGGTGACCACAGTGCGTATGCAGGTCTCTGTCGGACTATCGGGACACGTGGTAGGCAGCAGAGATCCATTCATTCATTCACGCCGCGTAGTTAGCGAAGGACCCGTTGTGCAACTTGCGACAGCATTCGCACGAACTGCTCTTGGCCGCCATACGCCGGCGTCTGGAGTGATTTGTTTGATCCACGAATCGCGGGGGGCGACGCCGTTCCTTTGAGGGTCGCGGTCCGCTCTGAGCGTCGACCACCAACTGAAGCGAGAGGGCAATTTGCTGCGGGAGTTTGCACGTCGGAGACGGGGGGGGGGGGGGCAATGTGGCCAAGCAAAGTGACACGACAGCCGTTCCCTCACCAACTGAGCTCTCGATTGCTAAGGAAACCGGTCAAGTCACAGATGCTAATGGTGATCTTTCTGTCAGAATCGAAGCCCCCAACTCCCGGATGCCAAGAAGGGTGTCTTTGGCATCGCAGTGTGGAAGGGAGGACGACTAGCAGCCCGATACCAAATCGGCTTGAAACGATGTCCAGGTCCCTCCGCACCGGAGTACAACAACAACACTGACTAATCACAGCCACTGGTAGATTCTCAATTTGGTGCAGCAGATAGCAGTCACTGAAATCCATCACTCTGTAAATGATGATAAAACACCACAAAAGGCAAATGTGTGGAAGTTGGAAAAATACATATAAGTGACAATCAGGAAGAGACAACTTCCATTATGTCCAGCATGCATGTTATTTGATCTCCACATTGAAAGTACAATGCTCTCGGCTTTATCCGGGACCACCAGCTCTAATGAGTTGAATGTGTGGACGCATTATCTTTTAGACCACAAACTGCACAGTTGACCACACCAACTGATGGAACGGTCAAATTTTTAACTCGTATCTGTCATCTGTTATTTGAATGGTCCGATTTGTATATGTGTATTTGAATTGATGCATTATTTTAAAATAAAAAAATCACACGATCATATTTATATCTGTAAACGTAACTTAGCATTTGTGTACTCAAGACCTGTTTTGTGAATTGCAGAATTTCAAATAAAGATAATACAAAACCTCGTTAAAAAAATCTATTTCCATCACTGGGTGGGGGATGGTAATCTTCACGCTAAGATGCTCATCGCATAACTAATACTATCACTTTGGCCTTTGTATCGTTTATGAAATTTCAAATACCGATCTATTAATGTCCGCACTTACGAACGAATCGTGCATCCAAAAATGGGAGGGATGGGGCTGGGTGGAGAGGGGAGGGTGGGGAGGGGTTGGGTGGAGAGGGGAGGGTGGGGAGGGGCTGGGTGGGGTGGCTGGGGCTGGGTGGGTAGTGGGAGGGGTAGGGCTGGGTGGGGAGGGGAGGGGCCTTATAAAACTCAACGTTTAACCTACTCACGCCGGCTTGTGCCCGCCCTCACAGTCGGCCATATTTGCGGAATACACCACGCCGCCATAGACCCTGGCCATTGACCGAGCAACCCAACGTTCCTACCAGCTCCCTCCGCAGGAATGTGTTTTATTAAGAGCACACAGGGCGATACACTTGGTAACGTGGCTACACCTCGACTGTCCAAACACGCAGCCCATCTCCGTCCTGCACTACGCTGGTGGGTTGACAAGCGTAGCGGTGGCGACGGAGCTGGTCTTGCAGAAGAACAGCCACGTGGTCGAAGACGAAGAGATGACGACGGCAGCGACGCAACCAGGACCCAGACCCCACACTAACAGCCCCGAAGCTCTGGTGCGGTGCTCCTTATATCTGCCTGGCGTGGCCAAGCTCCAGCTCTGGCCACGCCCCCTTTCTAGAACCTTCTAGACCCTTCGGGATGGTTCCCGGAACTTCTCGACTGACTCCGCCCTTGATCTTTACCCCAGATACGCCCCTTCATAATAAGGCATGATGTAATGCAGCTATAACCGTAATTACCCTTACAGGCTGTCAGGGGTCACCCTGTCATTACACATCTAATAGACCAGTGTTTTTTGTTGTTGTTTTACATCTAATAGACCACTCTGATAATGTGCACTGTCCGAGTTGTGTTTTTTGTTTGTATTATGACTGCAGGTATTGTGGTCTATGCAAACATGACTCCATGTAAAAAAGGTGTCAGTTTTGTTGCCAGATAAAAGGGTAAAAACCCAATTATATTTTTACTGGCAAATGAGGTTCCGATGAAACAAATATTGTTTCATCAAACCCTCTGTGTTTATTCACATACATTTTTTTACGATTTAGAACCAAAAGGGTGCAAGGCTGCAGTAAAGGTTAAGAACCACTGTATTATTAGACCTTCCATCCTTCATGAATGATTGTGCTTATTATTATTACAGGGCTGGATTTTAATCACTTCAAATTTGAGGGAGGAGCCAATGAGAGACCGGCGGTGACGGGGAGTTCCCCGTGGGTGCCCGGCCACTACAGACCAGAACTTTGTCGAGGTGGAGTTGGATGAGGAGGACGTTGGCGAAGGAGAGGTCGCCGAGAGAGAGGAAAGAAAAAAAAACGCTTTCTCAGGAGGATTTATACACAGTTCTGGCGAATCGCCTGACGAGGCTGGTGGTTGTCGTAATTACCGGTGAAAACGTCGCGGTACTCAAATTTGTAAATGTTGCTGTGGGTTTTGCTCTCCAACACACAACCGGTTAGTGGTGAAGTCGTAACTAATTGGCACATTTTGTTTACGTGACAAACCGTATTACTTATTAATTGGCTGTGTCGAGTGGTGGCGGGTTTAACTAAACGTTTATATTTATGCAATCTAACCCAAAAAAAACTATTATAGTTTTCTTGTTTTATGTACATATGTATGTTGAATTTCTTTCACACATATTAAGCACAAAAAGCATTTTAAAAAAATGAGTTTGCCAATCTATTCTTTTCCTAAAGTAATATTTTTGTATACTGATAATTGTTCCGCTCGGTTTTACCTTTTTTAGGCTCGTGAAGTTTGTTCCGTATTCATTTATTGTTAAATGGAGGATATAGTTGTAAGACAAATACAGTTTAAATATTAACTTAAAGCTTTTGTGACCAGAAGAATTCATATTCCTTGGGTCTCTCGGTAAAGTCACGTAGATAGATTCAAAGAAAATAACAAAAACCTACGACGTTTCGATCGCAACACAAGCGGGCATCATCAGGAAAAGGGGGTTAGCCTCTAAAGACAAACTGTTTCTAAAGGTTTAAAATGGGCATAGACCAAGTGTCAGCAGCATGGGGGCGGGGCAGCTAATGTTAATGTAAGAGATGGGCAGCGACAGCGCTGGTGGTGGGTTTCCACCAATTAAAAGGCTGCCAGGTAAAAATTTGCATGTTAATGTAAGATCGGGGAGCGGCCTCCAAGGCGAGCAGCACTTGACCCTACAGCCCGTGTGGGCTACACGGGGGACCTTTGTGTTGTGTATGTGTTCACAGCACTTGCCCCTACAGCCCGTGTGGGCTACACGGGGGACCTTTGTCTGTCTGTGTGTGTGTGCTTACAGCACTTGCCCCGACAGTCCGTGTAATCTACACGGGGGACCTTTGTCCGTGTGTGCTCACAGCACTTGCCCCTACAGTCCGTGCAGGCTACACGGGGGACCTTTGTCTTTGTGTGTGTGCTAACAGCCCTTGCCCCTACAGCCCGTGTGATCTACACGGGGGACCTTTGTGTGTGAGTGTGCTCACAGCACTTGGCCCTACAGCCCGTGTGGACTACACGGGGGACCTTTGTCAATGCACTGAGCCAGCAGGCAGCATGGAGTAGAAAGGGAATTGTTATTAATTTGTAATCTCTGTGTGTGTGTGTGGCGTTTGAATGCGATCGCTGCATTGCTTGTGAATGTTAATCATCTTCATAATTTAACCATTTATTTATTTTATATATATATATTTTAAAGTGGTAAATAAAACCACGCAGGCACAACATCCCTCGTGTCCTGGCGGGCCCCGGGCCCAAGCGCAAGCCCAGGGCCTGCCTTGCCTGATTTCGCTGCCGGAAAAAATCCCTCGACTCCCGGCGGGCACGGTGGGCCCGTGCCAGGGCCTGCCTTGCCTGATTTCGCTGCCGGAACACATCCCTCGTATCCCGGCGGGCACGGTGGGCCCGCGCTAGGGCCTGCCTTGCCTGATTTCGCTGCCGGAACACATCCCTCGTATCCCGGCGGGCACGGTGGGCCCGCACCAGGGCCTGCCTTGCCTGATTTCGCTGCCGGAAAAAATCCCTCGACTCCCGGCGGGCACGGTGGGCCCGTGCCAGGGCCTGCCTTGCCTGATTTCGCTGCCGGAACAAATCCCTCGTATCCCGGCGGGCACGGTGGGCCCGCGCCAGGGCCTGCCTTGCCTGATTTCGCTGCCGGAGATCTCGCGCGCCTCGCCGGGCGACGGAGTCCGCCGGGTGAGGCCGAGGTAGGTCCAATACGGTTATGTGACCGATGTGATTTGTTTGTGGGCTGATAAAATCCACGCGTGTTCGTCATTCTGCCGCTTAAGTTTAAATTGTACCTCGTCTCTCATTGCAATCGTAGACGCGCGTGTTGATTTAAATTGTTTTGATGCCCTGATCCACTGCTTCGTGAAGTATACTCTTAGTTCTTTCGGTAAAGTCACGTAGGTAAAAAATGAAATGAAAATTAATAAAAATAAATTAAACAATTTTAATTTCATTTTTTACCTACATGGTGACTTTACCGAAAGAACTAAGAGTATGAATCCTTGCAGTCACGAAAGCTTCAAATCTAGAATTGCTTCGTAAAGGTTGACACGTCTCGAACGTGCATGTCACACACAGCGCTGTACTGTATTATTATTTTACATAGATATTACAATACGTAGCGTGGACACTACATATTATTGCTACGGTTTTACTATTTTTTAAACTATGTTCAGTTTACCAGGTGTAAGCCCCCCCCCCCCTTACTGAGCTGCTATGTCTCTTGTTTTAGAAGGCGACCTGATCATCAGAAATTATATTTCGACCCAAGTGGCTTCTCGTCTTCATCATCAATCTTGATTTGAAGCTTTCGTGACTGCAGGAATCCGTAGTCTTTGGTTCTTTCGGTAAAGTCACGTAGGTATAAAATAAAGTAAATATACCTACGTGACTTTACCGAAAGAACCAAAGAGTAGCATCATCATCATCGCGTGGAAATTTATAGCAGCGGTCTAATACTCTATAGCAGAGGCTGGTGGAATGCACAATTATTGCATACCGTGATCATAATAATATTAACTTGACCGGGCATGGTCTAGTTAAAACTATAAAACTACTGTATAAATTTGGTTTTGTTATTATTACTACACACTTTTATTGAACTTTCCGTGTTATCTGTTTATATTTTTTTGGAATATTTGAAAGCTTTCATATCTTCGGATCTACGCAGCCCTACAAAGCTAATATTTTAAATATATTTTTAATTATTATATAAAAATATATTGCTTATATATTTATAATATATTTTTCTTATTTTATTATTTCCCTTCTAAGTGACTTTTTCGAAAGAACCAAGAATATGAATCCATGCAGTCACGAAAGCTTTAAATAAAAATAAATGTTAATAATTAATAATCTTACATTTTACCCCTCCCTCCTCCCCTTTTTAAATCCTTTATATTAAGTTCGCTTGCTTGCTTGCTTACGACCGTGCAAACCTTTCGGTCGTTTTTTAACCCACTTCCCGTGATCCAATCGAGCTGACATTTTGCACACAGACTCGTTGTGCGAGACAATTAATATTCGTGAAAAATTTTTCCAAAATTTTACACTGTTTAAGGAAAACAAATTTAATATTTAATTACCAATTGTTTAATACTGGCAGACAATCATCTGACCCATAGGTGGCAGCCATCTCAAGCCAGAGGACGAGAAGACTCTAGCCGCCACGCATATAAAGGATTTATAGTGAAAAACTTTGTTTTTACGGGTTTACTTGTTTTCTAAATCGTGAATGGTTGTGCCCCAGCCACGAGGGCAAACATCCGGTGCAATCACAGCGGCTGTTGCTGGGCCAGCCTATGACCAATGAAAGGGGCGTTTCTGTCTCCGCTCGTCATGGCGCCGGAGCGGCCGCTGTGCATCCCTATTCTTAGCTCTACTTCTCTGTCACGTCTCCTGTCCAACCTATATAATCCTGTACCGAAAAAATCAAAGAGTATAAATCCTTGCAGTCACGAAAGCTTCAAATCTAGAATTAATGCCCTCTACGGGGGAGGATTTTCACACGCAACTCTCACTCAGTCCTTGTTCTCCCCCCAACTCTTCCCCCACCGTGCACCTCTAGGAATCACAGCCTTTAACTTCTAACCCCGCCCACCTGTCTCCACCCCTCGATTGCCCTCTCTGCCTTATATAACTTTCCTAACTCCGGCATCTCTCCCACTTCAGTAATATATTTTCTTGCTGTGGTTGTCACACATGATGATGATGATTGCTTGTGTTGCAATCGAAACGTTGTGGTTTAATTTAGTTGTTTTCATTTACTTTATTTTTTCCTACGTGACTTTACCGAAAAAACCAAAGAGAACCACCCACTTTTATTCAGTTCATCACGTTTTTGTTCATTTATGGGGTGATAATTTATTTTGGTACTTTTTAGTGCAAATTAAAATGTGTGCATTGAAAAACTAGTTTTTACCAAATTTATTTTATCAGGTAAGGCCCCACTGAGCTATGTTTTTTTTAGAAGTGACCATCACAAATGATAGCTCAACGAAAGTGGCTTGTCATCACGTGCAAATTTATAGCCACGAGCATTTAAGTATTTGAAGGAGACTTAATTGCTGCTATTCGCTTATCTGCCACACCACACCCTGACTTCCTTTGGGTGAGACAAAGGTGGCCAGGTGTGGTGTTAGCCAAACCACCACCACCTTGTACACCGTGGTGGCCATAACAGATGCTTGTGCACAGCACTTCTCCCACAATAAGCTATATAGGGTTATTTGTAGGATGTTTGATTTATATGTGTGTAGTCTTCACCACATAGGAGTTTTTATTTCCTCAGGCGGGTTTTCAAGGATTCCCTTCACTTCAGGCATCTCGAACTATCTCGTTTTCCCTTCATATATCCCTCAAACCTCTTTCCCAAAGGTTCCTTAACCTTCTGAAATGCCTCCAGCCAATCGCCTTCCACTTTCTCTAATGCATTCCAACCGTCGTTCCTGTCAATCTTCCTCCGTTTCATGCTTTTTCCATGTTATATTTCTCCTCCAATCGCCTTAAATTTCCCTGCCTCGAACCAATCCCCTTTCAGGCCCGTGAAGTACAAATCAGGGGGGCTTGTTTTTATTTTCATGACTCTCCGTGTCATGCACGCCGTGTCCATAAAGTCGGGTGGGTATTTTCGTTTGTGATCGAATCACTACACGTGTGCATGTCTGATTGTTGTTGGTTTTATTTTTGCTCCTCAGATGGCTTCTTGGATTGACTTTGCATCCATCAAACAAGAGCGTGAAGACAATACGAGTCTTGGGACCTGGCCGGATTTGGTGATGAAAAGCGCAGACATTGATGGCGGTGAGATCAGCAGCGCTTATTCTTGTCTCCGACACGTACAGTAGACTCTCGATTATCTGCGCTAATGACGGGGAGGACAGCCGTGGATAATCCAAAAATATCCATTTCCCGCGGATCTCATTACCTAAAACCACTAATCTAGGTATAAATTAAGTTTTAGTTAAGAAAATGTAGTTTTTTTAATAAACAGAAACATATTTTGAGTGAAGAATGTATTGATAGTGTTATTACAACTGACGATTTCGATTGTTCATCTTTCGATTTCGAGCAAATACTAACATTGACCGATTGATGCGTGTGCTTCGTGATAACATTTTCCTGCTCCCGTGCAGAAGATTCCACCCGCTAAGTAATATTTAAAAATACTTTTTTTTAAACACGCTTTAATGTAATGTACCGTAAGAGTAATGGCAGAACTCCACGACTCCTGGAAGTGGCCCCGAAGCTTGCATAACGTAAGGGACCGTGGTGATTTACAGCCAACGTGAGTTGAGCGTGGACAATTAGATCCACGCCGAAACATAACATGTATAAAAAATATATATTTTTTTTAATGATAGAATATAGTTTGGTCATCAGTATGACATACGTATACCAAGTTTACAGTCGATACGACATTGGGAAGTGGGTTAAAATTGAGTTACAAGATTTGAGGATACGACAACAGACTGAGTGAGTTTATAAAAAGCGTGAAAAAAACGGATTGTTTAAATTGAGCAGTTTCCGATGGGTACGTCTTTAAATATAAAAAGTTGAATCAAGTCAACAATTTCAGTTTTTTGTGAAAAAGTACACATTTTTGGAGTAGTTGTTTGTGTCTGATTGTAGATGAAAATTGTAAAAAAAAACATATCAGGTTAATTCTTATATTTGTTAAAAATTTTGCCTGGCAAAGACAGGCTTTATGAACTAGTATATATATCAATGGTGACATTTTAGGCAGCCCAATGGTCCTTCTTCAAAGCACAGGTGAAAACTCATGCTGCGTTTTCTTAATTCCAGCTGAACTTCTGAAGAATGTGAAGATTGAGGGAGCCAGTGAGAGGCCAGAGGAGGTGGAAGATTCCCATGGATTCCTGCCCACTGCAGGCCGGAACTTCATCAAAGTGGAATTGGACGAGGAGGACCTTGGGAAAGGTGAGTTCCATTTTGGTCACACCTTGTTGTGAAAGACCCAAGGCAGAAGATCCTTGGGTTTTGATCTTCAACGAAGCTCATGGTCCGCCCTAAAATGCATCCGCTGCACAAACCATGGCAGATGCGGTTACCTGATACACAAATGGAGAATGTAAAACTCTCCAATAGTGGTGCGACTGTGGTCACTTAATAGACCGTACACAATGTATAACGACAGAATGCCCCCGATCCACAAATACGAAGGAGACATCATCACAGCGATGATGATTCGCTACTCCGCTTCTGCGGTTGTCTGGGCTTGACAATCTGAATGTGATATTGTAGTTGTTGCTCTGCATCTGCATCAGCCATACGAAAGAAGAAGACAGAACATTTCATTTTTAGTTTTTAACAGTAATCAAATTTCAGTCATGCTACAGTTGATCATCGATTACCCGGCGCGAGATTATCCAGCTTCCAACATTATCCGGCGGTCCCAGGCCGATCCGGGAAAACCACTCCAAAGGCTGTAACCCAGTCTGGCGATCGTCAAACACATGGTTGTTGAAATATGAGCCTAGTACTACTACATACATCACCCCATGCAGAGTCTTCGAGATTAGAGTGGTAAGTACAGTACAATAAATATGGTAACTTTTTACAGGAGGTAACATTTGTATGCTTATCTATGCCAATTTCACATAGTAAACATTTAAAACACAAAATAATAATAGCAACTTAATAACGCGCACGGTATTCGCTCACTCTTGAGGAGAGCGGATGACTCGGAGGCGCGAGGAACCACAGACAAGCGGAAACGCGTCCTCGCGCTGAGCCGGTGCCAACAATTTCCCAAGCTCTGTAGTCCCCTACGTAATTAAGGTGTGGTTGGGCAATTAACCCTTTCACGTTTCGATGACGTACGTGGAAGTGTACGTAATCGGAATGGTTTCGGCAGAAAAACTAAATTAAATTAACTTTTTTGGTCCGGAGGCTCCCCACAAGGCCAATGCGGGGAGGGGCATGTGGCACAGTTTTGGTGCCCAGCTATTGTAGAATGGCGGCGGTCGTGTCGCTACGGTTCTCTGCGGTGACTAACAACGTCCTTTATAAAAACAACGGCCCGACTACTACATACGCCTCTCAGATGTCAGTAGACGCTGTATGGATTGCAACGACACACTGCCGGGATGTTCATGGAATGGCGAAATTGTCGATGACACGTTTGACGGCTTGAACTTTGCCACAGTTGTAGTTGGGTGATTGTTTGATCTATCAATTATGTTTTTGTTTGAGATGTCCATAGCCATCCACTATTCGGACGAGTGAACGCCAGTGTCTTGATTTTTGGCTGCTAGAGTTTATATGTAAGGAACATAACTCGCCAAAAACAGAACTGGTAATCTTTTGCGTCATCATCAAACGAACAATGCCCACATCCTTTGGACATGCACATCCATCCGTCCGTCCCTCTAGCCAGCCAGACAGCAATATTTTAAAAAAATATGCGCATGGTGTTTTTGTATCAATGTTAATGTGGCAGTTTAGATTTAATGACTTAAAATAATAACTTTTAGTTCAATGGGATTGAAAGCTGAAGATGCGGCGAGCAAAACTTAAGTAAACACGTCAAGAATTCAAAAGTGTATTTGATATATTCATAACTGCCTATGCAACACTTGGTTTTTTTAACATCTAATAGACCAGTGGTTACTAACATGAGGCGCACACACCCTCTGGGGGTGCGAGATGCCCTTTCTGGGTGCTGTGAGACATGGCCATATTTTTTTTCAGGCATATCGTCGAAACACAAATTAAGCACGGGCACGTAAGTAACAAGTACTTTGTTTCATCAAACCCTCTGTGTTTATTAACATTATACTTTTTTACGATTGAGAACCAAAGGGGTGCAAGGCTGCAGTAAAGGTTAAGAACCACTGTATTATTTGACCTTCCATCTGTCATGAAGTAAAGTGTTTATTATTATCATTACAGGCCTGGATTTTAATCGCTTCAAATTTGAGGGAAGAGCTAATGAGAGACCGGCGGTGACGGGGAGTTCCCGTGGGTGCCCGGCCACTGCAGACCAGAACTTTGTCGAGGTGGAGTTGGATGAGGAGGATGTTGGCAAAGGTAAGGTCGCGGAAAGAGAGAGAGGAAAAACGCTTTCTCGTTTGGTTTAACGCGTTAAGTAGGCTTTCGCCACAAACAGGAGGAGGATTTCTCCACAGTTCTGGCGAATCACCTGACGAGGCTGGTTGTTGTTGTAATTACCGGTGAAAACGTCGCGGTACTTAAATGTGTAAATATTGCTGTGGGTTTTGCTCTCCAAGACAACCGATTAGTGCTAAAGTAGTAACTAATTGGCACATTTTGTTTACGTGATAAACCTTATAAATTGGCTCTATCGAGCGGTGGTGGGTTTAACAACACATTTATATTTATTCAATCTGGCCCAATATGTTTATATGTTGTATATATGTTGAACTTCTTTCGCACCGTACGTAGCCAACCATGCTAATCGGAGGTGCGGGCGGGGGCAACGACAACATATTAAGCACACATAAACATTTTAAAAAAATGAGTTTGCCAATACAGATTATTTTAAAGTACATAGTTCTGAGTGGCCTACTAATATCGTAAGGAAGAGCTGTTCCAGACGGCCGCAGAAGCTCATCTGAAAGCGCGCGATGCAGTGACCATCTTTGTTCAATTGTCAGCCAATAGCCGCTGCGAGGATGATAGGAGTTGGCATGATGATTTATGCTCCTAATCACCCACATCTCGGTCACACTACAATAAATGAGATGGACACCTTATGTCACCTCGGTGGCGAGATGTTACCTCCTCGCCTGGTATACAGGAGGTCATAGGTTCGATCCTGACCCTGACGCCTGTTGAATATTTGAAGTTTGTGCGTCTCTTTTACTGTGGTTACATGGATTTTTCTCTAGGTCCTACGGTTTTCCCCTCCACATTTTGCAGCATGCGTTTAAAGTATTTGGTTGCTATAAATATCCATGTGATAAGCCACTTCTACTATCCTAATCTGTTGTCATATTCTTTTCCTAAAGTAATATTTTTGTGTACTGATAATTGTTACGTCTAGTTTTACCTTTTTTAGGCTCGTTAGGTTTGTTCCATACTAATTTGTTGTTAAATGGAGGATATATTTGCAAAAAAAACTGTTGAAATATTTTTCTTAATTAGTTCTCGACGTATTTCGTGGCACGTCCCAACGAGTCTACTTCCTCATCACATCACTCGTATAACTAGCTTGTTAGCCCATCCTAGGATGGAAGCTGTAAAATAAAAGATGTAAATTAATGTTTTATTGTGTGATTGTTAATTTTATGAGGAAATGTAGCACATAGACATTTTTATTAACTTATTAAATGAAATTAAGTACTTTAGAAGATTTCTCGGTATTCCATATTTAGCCGCTCGACCTTCTGCGTAAGTCTAAAAATCCAGGCACATGAATAATAATGAGGGGGGGGCGCACATGTGGAGTGACGGCACGCGCGGGACACACACACAGCCTTTTTTGGCTCGTTATATTAGCTGCTGCATTGATTTCTTTATTAGCCTTCCTTTTCCATAAAGAAAGGTCAAAATGAAAGCTAATTTGCATAAACAAATTCGCGTTTCCGCTCCATCTTCTTCATGCGGAGTGGCGTCACCCATTCATGATGATTACACTGGTCAACAAAAAAAAATTCTGGCCTGGACTTTTGCAGTTGTTTTAGACTATTTTCAGGGTGCTGATTCCAAATCTGATCTCAGATTTGCTCTATCACATCTCATTTTTATGCTATTGGCATACCCCATTTTCATTGATTTTACCCGAAATTAACTCTGTCACTTATGATTGCAAGTTGTTGCGAGTCAGTGACTGCTTTAGTGTTAAAATATGGTGCTGTATTTTTAGGATAGTGTGTTTATAATATAATTTTATGTAGATATCCACATTTATTTAATATTTTTCTTCTGCAGGGCGTGATCTAACAATGGCTACAACATCCGAAAGAAGGAAATGCAGTAATTACCCAGATATCTTCTGCTACATCTATGGCAGCTTCACTTTGCAGGATCAAAGGCGCAACATTAATACCTTTGTCAAGAAGGTTTTTCTTGCCTACTTTAAAATACGACTTGGAGACCAAGACAAAAATTGGGCTCCTCACAAAGTGTGTAAAACCTGTGTTGAAACTTTGCGATCATGGTCTAAAGGAAAGAATGCTAAGCTGAAGTTTGGTGTGCCAATGGTTTGGAGAGAACCTACAAACCATTTGGATAACTGCTACTTCTGCCTTGTCAATGTAAAAGGTTTCAATAAGAAAAACAAACAACACTTACAATACCCCGATATCCCATCTGCCAGACGACCAGTTGAGCACTGTGAGGAAATACCTGTGCCTGTATTTACTGAGCTACCAGAGATTGATGTTGAATCCCTCAGTTTACCTGCTTCTACAGATGATGATGCTCCGATCGAATATACGCCATCTGATGCAGATTGTGATAAAAATGTCTCTGTTTAGTCAGCCTGAATTGAATGATCTTGTAAGAGATTTGTATTTGCCAAAGCAGTCTGCTGAATTGTTGGCTTTCAGGCTGCAAGAGAAAGGACTACTCAGACCTGGCACGAGTGTCTCCTTTTATCGTAACAGAGAAGCAGCACTGCGAAAGTACTTCCATTCAGATGGTCAACTTGTTTATTGTAATGATGTTGAAGGGCTTCTTCTCAATATGGGACTGCCCGCATATGATTAAAGTGAATAGAGACTTTTTATTCAAAGTAGTAAAAGGAGTTTGAAATGTGTGTTACTTCACAACACAAATATATATGGTTCAATCCCAGTAGGACACTCTGTAAAAATGAATGAAGAGTATGCCAACATCAAGATTGTTCTGGATAGATTGGAATACCATGTTCATGGATGGCTAATTTGTGTTGATTTGAAAATGGTTAATTTTCTGCTGGGTCAGCAAGGAGGTCACACCAAATACCATTATTTCCTGTGCTACTGAGACAGTAGGGCTACATTAGAACACTGGGTTAAAAAGAACTGGCCACCAAGAATCAGTTTGACGCCTGGTGACAAGAACATCAAGAATGAGCCTCTGGTTGATAGGAATAAAATAGTATTTCCCCCACTGCACATAAAACTTGGGTTAATGAAGAAGTTCGTCAAAGCTCTTGATCACACTGGAGACTGCTTCAGCTATATATGTTCAACCTTTTCAAGTCTCAGTGCCGAGAAGAAAAAAAGCAGGAATATTTGATGGCCCTCAAATAAGAACACTCATCAGGGATCCACACTTTGTTACAAAAATGACTGCGGCAGAGGCTAGAGCTTGGAATGCATTCTCTGATGTGGTGCGGAATTTCCTTGGGAACAGGAAAGCGGACAACTATCGAGAGATTGTGGAGGAGCTGCTCTTGAGTTTCCAAGCACTTGGATGTAGAATGAGCATCAAGGTTCACTACTTACATAGTCACTTGGCTCAGTTTCCAGAGAACATGGGTCACGTGAGCGAAGAGCAAGGTGAACACTTTCATCAAGACATTAAAGTTATGGAAGAACGTTACCAAGGCCAATGGGACTCAAACATGGTGGCAGATTACTGCTGGTCCTTGATGAGAGACATTCCACAAGCTGTACATCGGAGATCGTCAAAGAAGAGGTCGTTTATGCAGATGTAACATCACTATTGTGAATGACCTTTTTGTACATATTTGTCTTATCTTCACAATTCAATTCTTACATGGTAATATGCATTCACTCACATTGATATGCAGTCACTCTCACAACTTTGCGCTACGGCTCATTAAATGTTTGTTTAATTATTATTGTATATTGTATCTTATCTTATTCTTGTATGGATGTCTGTTTAGCTATTCGTATATGAGCATAAATTAGCTGTTTTTATTGAAAATGCAATATTTGATATCTCAAAAACCTGATGTGATAGACAAAAACTGATGCCAGATTTGGAATCAGCACCCCAAAATTACCTTAAAACCCTTGGAATACCTTATGCCAGAAAAAGTGTGTTGACCAGTGTTATTATTGACGGGGCGGGGGGGTCCATGTGGAGAACCCCACCTGTTCATGATTATTAATGAGGGGGGGGGCTGGTCGACAGACAATCTTGGCTCATATTAGTGATGAGCCAAGAATGTATGTGTGGTGTGGTGCGACTGTGGTCACTTAGAACAGACCATACACAACGTATAATGACACAATGCCCCCAATCCACAAATACGAAGGAGACATCATCACAGCGATGATGATTCGCTACTCCGCTTCTGCGGTTGTCTGGGCTTGACAACCTGAATGTGATATTGTAGTTGTTGCTCTGCATCTACATCAGCCATACGAAAGAAGACACTAATCATATCTCAGTCATGCTACAGTTCATCATCGATTACCCGGCGTGAGATTATCCAGCTTTCAACATTGTCCGGCGGTCCCGGGCTGATCCGGCCAAACCGCTCCAAAGGCTGTAACCCAGTCTGGCGATCGTCAAACACATGGTTGTCGAAACAAGAGCCTAGTAGCACTACGTACATCACCCCATGCAGAGCCTTAGAGATTAGTGTGGTAAGTACGGTACAGTAAATACGGTAAATTTTCACAGTAGGTAATATTTGCATGCTTATTTATGCCAATTTCACATAGTAAACATTTAAAACAAAATAATAGCAACTTAATAACGCGCACGGTATTCGCTCACTCTTGAGGAGAGTGGATGACTCGGAGGGAAGAGGAACCATAGACAAGCGGAAACGCATCCACGCCCTGAGCTGGTGCCAACAATTTCTCAAGCTCTGTAGTCCCCTACGTAATTAAGGTGTGGTTGGGAAATTAACCCATTCCCGTTCCGATGACGTACGTGTAAGTGTACGTAATCGGAATGGATTCGGCAGAAAAACTAAATTAAATTAACTTTTTTGGTCCGGAGGCTCCCCCATGAGGCCAATGCGGGGAAGGGCGTGTGGCACAGTTTTGGTGCCCAGCTATCATAGAATGGCGGCGGTCGTGTCGCTATAGTTGCCTGCGGTGACCAATGACGTCCTTCATAAAAACAACAGCCCGACTACTACATACGCCTCTCAGATGTCAGTAAATGCTGTACGGATTGCAGCGACACACTGCTGGGATGTTCATGGAATGGCAAAATCGTCGATGACACATTTGACAGCTTGAAATTTACCACAGTTGTAGTTCGGTGATTGTTTGATCTACCATTTATGGAGGATTGTTGTGAGCGAGAGAAGCCCGATACTTCCACACTGCTGGTTCCTCAATTATGTTTTTGTTTGACATGTCCATAGCCGTCCACTATTCGGACGAGTGAGTGCCAGTGTCTTGATTTTTGGCTGCTAGAGCTTATATGTAAGCAACATAACTCGGCAAAAACAGAACTGGTAATCTTTTGCGTCATCATCAAATGAACAATGCCCACATCCTTTGGACATGCGCATCCATCCATCCGTTCCTCCTGCCAGACAGCAATATTTAACAAAAATATGTACATGATATTATATGTGTAGTGTTCTTCAGGGAGGCACACACTTGACATGGAGGCAACACGTTTATTACACACGCCAACAGGGTAACTACATAACCGTGTCAGTCGGCAACATCCTGACTGACCCACGATGCCGAGCGGAGACGTAGTGTCGAGGGTTGATTCCAGAGAACAGCCTCGAATCTTCCCGGGACTGCCTCTTTATGCTCCTGAGCGTGGCCTCGCTCCGCCCTCGGCCACGCGTCCTTCGGGATCTTTCCTGAAGGATCCCGACCGTGCATCACGTGTCCCTCAAGCCCCCTTTGCTACCCTGTCCCGGTCACATGTCCTCTTGGGTTCACCCAGACTACCCCGTCCTCACTTGCCCGCTCTCAGGTCGTCACCAGGACTATGCCCCCTAGGGCCTGCTCGCATGCCGTACTTACTCTGGCCCCCGAGAGAGGTTCCAGATAGATAGATCGTTTATTGTCATTGTCACCAGTACAACGAAATTTAAAATGCTCACCAGTCAGGGCCTCATTCATAAATTTAAATTAAATAAAACAAGAAAATAAAAATAAAATTAAATGAAAGATAATCAATTTATACTATATATAAAAACAGCCCAAGTATACCCACATAAGGTTACATTTTGTCATTGCACATCTCTATTTCACAGTCAATTGTAAACGCTATTACTTAATAATTAATTAGCATTATTGAGTGTGGTGATCGCTGTAGGATAAAAGCTCTGTTTGAATCTGTTTGTCCTTGTTTTGACTGATCTGAATCGTCTGCCTGATGGCAACAGCTCAAACAGTGAGTGTCCAGGGTGAGAAGAGTCCTTTATAATGTTTTATGCTTTTTTGATGCAACGTGAACTGTGTAGTTCTTCCAGTGTGGGGAGATGGCAGCCGGCGATCTTTTGGGCTGTGTTGATGACCCTCTGGAGCGCTTTCCTCTGAGCCACTGCACAGTAGCACTCTTGTGACAGTGGCTGGTGCTAATGTAGTGTGTTTATTTCACGCGGACACCTTCTTTCTTTTTCTCCTGTTTCACTTTTATTCAACAGAACTCGCGTTCAGCACCACGTAACTCCGTCGCAACTCTCCCACCTACGCTAGTCGCCTGCCACGCTTCGCTCGCTCCGCTCTCTCACTCTGCTAGCCTCTCCACTGCTAGCCTATCGCTACACACTGGTAGCTTCCCACCGTACACTCTGCTAGCCTCCCTGCTGCTAGGCTGTTACCATACACTCTGCTAGCTTCTCCACTGCTAGCCTCTCGCTATATACTCTGCTAGCTTCTCTACTGCTAGCCTGTCTACCTTCGCTCCTCCATCCTCTCCCTTGCCTCCAGCGGTGGACCAGGCATCCCCGCTGGAGAGGACGAGGTGCGGAGAGCGGGGCCCTGGACTTGTCTTCACTCCATCCAACCCAACTCACAACTCCCCTGCGTGTCTCCGCACATTGCCTTATATCCCCTCATTAACTCCTCATTAATTAAGCTGGCGACCTTCCGTCGCCTCACACCCGTGGCTTCCGCCGCTATGCTTCAATCTCCCGACCCCGAGACGCCTACACCGTGTCTGTATTTGCAGCCAGCCAATCACCGTTATGCATCTTAATTGGTCACCTTCTCTGGTTGCTGTCTCTCTCCACACCTGTGTGCCCTGACGTGACTTCACTGTCCACAACTCACATGCGTGCACACCGCTTGCAAACCCCGCGCGCGTTACTCCACTACACTAATACCATAGTGACACCCTTAACTTCAATACATAGGTATCAATGTTAACGTGGCAGTTTAGATTTAATGACTTAAAATAATAACTTTTAGTTCAGTGGAATTGAAAGCTGAAGATGCGTAGAGCAAAACTTAAGTAAACATGTCAATAATTCAAAAGTGTATTTGATATATCCATAACCTGTCCTATGCAGCAGTGGTTACTAACCTGAGGCGCACTCACGCCCTGGGGGTGCGAGATGCCCTTTCTGGGGGATGTGAGACATGGCCATATTTTTTTTATAAGGCAAATCGTCAAAAAACAAATTAAGCACGGCACGTTAGTAACAAGTACTTTTTTCATCAAACCCTATGTGTTTATTAACAGTGAAGGTTAAGAACCACTGTATTATTTGACCTTCCATCTGTCATGAAGTAAAGTGCTTATTATTATTACAGGCCTGGATTTTAATCGCTTCAAATTTGAGGGAAGAGCCAATGAGAGACCGGCGGTGACGGGGAGTTCCCGTGGGTGCCCGGCCACTGCAGACCAAAACTTTGTCGAGGTGGAGTTGGATGAGGAAGACGTTGGCCAAGGTGAGGTCGCGGAGAGAGAGAGGAAAGAAAAAAAACGCTTTTTCGTTTGGTTTAACGTGTTAAGTAGGCTTTCGCCACAGAGGAGTTCTGACGAATTGCCTGACGAGGCTGGTTGTTGTAATTACCGGTGAAAACCTCGCGGTACTCAAATGTGTAAATGTTGCTGTCGGTTTTGCTCTACAACACAACCGATTAGTGCTAAAGTAGTAACTAATTGGCACATTTTGTTTACATGACAAACCTTATTAATTGGCTTTATCGAGTGGTGGCAGGTTTAACAACACCTTTATATTCATGCAATCTAACCCGAAAAAAACATAGTTTTCTTGTTTTATGTACATATATATGTTGAAATTATTTCGGACCGTACGTAGCCAATCGGAGGTGCGGGGGGAAGGACAACATACTAAGCACAATAAGCATAACAAAAAATGAGTTTGCCAATCTCGATGATGATTTCAAAGTATATAGCTCCGAGTGGCTTACTAATATCGGAAGGAAGAGCTGTTCCAGACGGCCGCAGCAGTACATCTGAAAGGGCGCAATGCGGTGACCATCTTTGTTCGATGGCCAGCCAATAGCCGCTACGAGGATGACAGGAGTTTGTGTGATGGTTTATACTCCTCATCACCCACATTAATTTGGTCATGCTACAATAAATGAGATGGACACCTGATGTCACCTCGGTGGCGAGATGTTAACTACCTCGCATGGTATACAGGAGGGTCGTGGGTTCGATCCTGACCCTGACGCCTGTTGTATATTTTAAGTTTGTGCGTCTCTTTCACCGTGGTCACATGGATTTTTCTTTGGGTCCTACGGTTTTCCTTTCCACATTTTGCAGCATGCGTTTAAAGTACTTGGGTTCCTAAATGTGCATGTGATAAGCCACTTCGACTATCCTAATATGTTGTCATATTATTTTCCTGAAGTAATATTTTTGTATACCGATAATTGTTCCGCCCGGTTTTACCTTTTTTAGGCTCGTTAAGTTTGTTCCGTATTCATTTATTGTTAAATGGAGGATATAGTTGGAAAAAAAATACAGTTTAAATATTAACTTTAAACTTTTGTGACTAGAAGAATTCATATTCCTTGGGTCTTTCAGTAAAGTCAAGTAGATAGGTTCAAAGAAAATAACAAACTACGACGTTTCGATCGCAATACAAGCGGTCGTCATCAGGAAAAGGGGGTTAGCCTCTAAAGGCAAACTGGGCGTAGCCCAAGTGTCAGCAGCATGGGCGGGGCAGCTAATGTTAATGAGATAGGCAGCGACGGCGCTGGTGGTGGGTTTTCACCAATTAAAAGGCTGCCAGGTTAAAATTAGCATGTTAATGTAAGATCGGAGAGCAGCCTCCAAGGCGAGCGCGCTGAGGTGGCTATGTTAATGTGAGAGAAGAGCATGTTAATGTAAGATCGCGGAGCCGAAAATAAAAACTATAATCGGAAGGTGGCAGGATGGGAACATCACAGCCAGTTATGACTTAAACTGGTTGATAATGTCCTTCCAGTGATTGCTAAGTTTGTACCCATATTCTCGGTGGAAATTGTGTCTGTATATATGGATGGCTTCATGAACAATTCTTTGTTGATAGCCAGTGGGTTTCCAAAGTACCTTAGTCTTAGAGAAATAAATTTAGTGTGAGCCCACCACATTAAAACAATGATCAGCTACGGCTGAGGTGTTGGTCCTACCGTGTTTTAGATCTGTCTTATGTTCACGAACACGTCACGTCTCCTAATGCTAACGGATCTCGTTCATGGCAGGCTTAGCCCTGATCTCAGAGAGAATAAGATTCCTTATTCCCTGATCTCAGAGAGAATAAGATTCCTTATTCTTTCTGTATTGTGATCGAAACATCGTAGTTTTTGTTATTTTCCTTGAACCTATCTACGTGACTTTACCGAAAGACCCAAAGAATAGTTAAAATATTGTGTTCTTAATTTATTTTCGACGTAACCCAGGGTCACCTTTGCAAAAAGAGGCTATGATATTTCGTGACACGTCCCAACAGGTCTACTTCATCGTCTCATTAATTAAATAAGACGCGAGGTAAAGATGAGGTATCGATAAGAGAGCTTCTACACACCACTTGACTGTTTCTCTCTCTCTCACGGGCCGACTTTTCGCGTTCCGTTTTTTGTTTACGTGCGCGACAGGCGAAGCAACCCCAGCGGACCTGCTGTGCACCGAGTGCGGGGACGATGACGGCGTCGGCAGACCGATCCGAACGAAGGTGAATGAAGCGAAGGGCGTCGGCGGCCAGACCCCGCGAGGCTGTGCGCAGTGCGGCAAGATTCTTGGCGGCCTCGAGTCTCATGTGAAGCCGCATGTGTGCGTCGAGTGCGGGAAGAGGTTCTCAAAGCGGTCGAATTTAGAGATACACTCGAGAAGACACACCGGCGAGAAACTGCACGTGTGCCCCGAGTGCGGCAAGAGCTTCACGCAGCATTCCCACCTGGTGATGCATTCGCGAACGCACACCGGCGAGAAGCCGCACGTGTGCAACGAGTGCGGGAAGGGCTTTTCGCAGCGCTCCACCTTGAACATGCATTGTAGAACGCACACCGGCGAGAAGCCGCACATTTGCGTAGAGTGTGGGAAGGGGTTCACGACTCGTACCGATTTGAAAAAGCATTCTAGGACGCACACCGGCGAGAAGCCAAACGTCTGCAAGGAGTGCGGTAAGTGCTTTGCGCAGCTCTCCATTTTAAAGACCCATTATAGAATACACACGGGCGAGAAGCCGTACGTGTGCAAGGAGTGCGGTAAGAGCTTCGCACAGCTCTTCAATTTGAAGATGCATTCCAGGACGCACACCGGCGAGAAGCCGTACATGTGCAAGGAGTGCGGGAACACTTTTTCGAAGCGTTCCCATATGGAGACGCACTCCAGAACTCACACTGGCGAGAAGCCGTACGTATGCGTGGAGTGCGGGAAGAGGTTTACGCAGCGCTACAATTTGGAGATGCACTCCAGAACGCACACAGGCGAGAAGCCGCACGTGTGCAAGGAGTGCGGTAAGGGTTTCGCCACGCATACCGATTTGAATAAGCACTGTAGAATACACACTGGCGAGAAGCCGCACGTGTGCGGGGAGTGCGGTAAGGGATTCACAAGGCACACCGATTTAAATAAGCATCGTAGAATACACACGGGCGAGAAGCCGCACGTGTGCATGGAGTGTGGGATGGGATTTTCACGGCGTTTCCATTTGGAGAGACACTCACGGACGCACACGGGCGAAAAGCCGTACGTGTGCAAGGAGTGCGGGAAGAGTTTCACGCAGCGCTACAATTTGGAGATGCACTCCAGAACGCACACCGGCGAGAAGCCGCACGTGTGCAAAGAGTGCGGCAAGGAGTTTTCAACGCACACCGATTTAAATAAGCATTCTAGAACCCACACTGGCATAAAGCCACACGTGTGCATCGAGTGTGGCAAGGGATTTACAACACTTACTTATTTAAACAAGCATGCTAGGACACACTGGTGATGAGTCGCTCATAATAGAGTTGTTTTTTTTGGTAGATAGCTTAAATATAAATGTGTCGTTAAACCCGCCACCAGCAGACAGTCAATTAGTAAGGTTTGTCACGTAAACAAAACGTGGCCAATTCGTTTCTAGTTCAGCACACTGGTGTGTTGCAAAGTAAACCCACATAACATTTATAATTCGAGTACCATGACGTTTCGCCAGTAATTACAACCAGCATCATCAGGGAAAGACATTTAACATTGCCCTTACATGAAGGATAAAAGCACCACATTTTCAGTTTGGGTCTTTTCAGTGCTTAGAATAAAAATGAGGCAAGGAGCCTTCTGAATGTGTCTTAGTATCCAAATTGTGGCCAACAATCATTGTGGAAAGAAAGCCCATGCTATGTTTGAAGTTAGTCAGTATGTCCAAACCAGAAAATAAATTCTGACATTCGATCAGGACAGTTGGCTACGTATGGTGCAAAAGAATTTCAACATACAGAGATGTGTAATCTACCATAAACCGTTTATATGTACAGTAATATTTTACAGTTTCCTTACGTTTGTATTTTAAGAGTGGTGCAACACTCACCGTTTCTCAGTCCTTTTTTTCCCCACGGACTCCTTACGTTTTCAAAGCAGCAAGCCATCTAGGGTTGGCTTTCCTACATGGTTTAAAACCGTTTCCTTTTGCAGGAACACTTGCTCAGAGCTCTCCTCCACACGCTTAAAACAACCTCGGGAAAATTTGAAAATCCAAATCGGCACCAAACTATTTATCTGTTAATCAAACCAAAACGAAGCTTTCTGAAGAAGGAGACCGTTGCTCCCGATGTGGTGCTCGTGACCAAAATTCCATCGTGGTAGGTGGCGGGGCCTGTCGAGCGTTTTGAAGTAGGATCCCGAGTGGGTGGGAATGTGTCCATGGCTCGATCCTTCCGACGGAAGAGATCCACTGCGGCCTCTCACATATCAGATTTGAGAGGGCTTGTGTTGTCATACGTGATGGCAAGACAATCTTTGGAGCTTTTTGGAAGCGACGAGAGAGTGTAAAGTGTTAGCCGTTCAAAGGCGGCGACAGCTGCATGTGCACAAATGTCTCTGGAACCTGTCTAACACGTAGTAGTAGGATGCTTTTGCAACCAATAGCCATAATAGAGTTTTTTTTGGGTTAGATTGCGTAAATATGAATGCGTCGTGAAACCCGCCAACACCACCTGACATGACCAATTCGTAAGATTTGTTACGTAAACAAAACATGGCAATTAGCTACAAGTTCAGTACTAACTGGTTTTGGGTTGCAGAGTAAACCCACAACATTTACAATTTGAGTACCTACCATGATGTTTCGCCGGTAATTACAACCAGCCTCATCAGGCAACAGCCAGGGTTGTTGAGAAATCCTTCTGGTTCGGTCTTAAATATATGGAGGGATAAATGTGATGTCATCACTTGTGAGCCAATCAGGGCGGGTTAATGTATTTGAATATATTACAATGGCTATCTATTATTGGTTTGCTTATTCACAGTTTATCAACATAATGTGTGTACATAATGCATGTTCTTCGCATGCCTGCCAGGCTGACCTTTTGCCCTTGCACATGAAGGGGGAAGCACTTTGATCCTCTGATCTTGGTTTGACCTTTCCTTTAGTTTTCTTCCTAAAACCACCAAGTTGAGTTCATCTGGATAGCATCGTGGATAATGGTTTGGGTGCAATTTTCAGTGGCATTCTGGAAATCCTGGTACAGATTTTTTTTGGCCTAAATCTTCCAGTTTGCGAAGTGACAAGAAATACATTTTCCTAATCTTTCATTGGTCTGAGATAGGTTTCTGACTTGGCTTGGAAAGTTCTTTTTTTAGCTGCGTTGTTACCTTTTGTGATTTGTGCCGTTTATGGTGATGTCTGGGTGCACCATCCTTTTAGCAATTCTAATGGGAAGTCACCATCGACGATTTAAGAATTCATGCTAAAATATGTATTTTTCTTATGATTAATGCAGCTTTAGCGCGAATAAGAGCATCTTCGGTAAAGTCTAGTTTATTCAGGGATTCTCTCGGTGTGCATTTCATTCCCTTGAAAATGAGGATTTTCACTGCCATAATTTCATTCCTGAATCTCTTGGAGAGCATTCCAGCAGTCTGATCTTGTTTACGAGTTTCGTGAAGCCCAAGTCTCGGAGGCGAGTCACATACAGATAGCTTGAAGAGGAGAATTCCAGATTTCACACATTTTATCAATGTAGCTGGTGAGCTGTCATCAAATTTGCATCGATTCTTGACGGGCCTTTTGTTTAAATTTCTATTGAGCCTTCGATTCCATTTTCTCAATTTTAACAGGCATTTAAAAAACATAATTTGATCTCTTCTGGCAATTTGAGGTTGAAGCTGAGGGTGTTGTAGTTCTGTGGCCGTGTCTCTCCCATTTATTTTTTGTCGGCATCAAATAAAGATAACTCATTGGAGGTTACCTTCACTTTTTCCTTGTTCACAGAAGATGCACTCTTGAATGAATACACCCAATGCTTGCTTGGCACCCTTCTCTCATGAGGTTGATCTCTTACTTTCCTTTCAGTAGTTTAGAGAATGATTGCATTCTTTTTTTATGCCATGATTGTGTCAGGATGCACGATGAGTGGAATCATTGCCTGTACTACCTCCCCACCCCAAAAAAAGCCTAAATTGTTGGCCCAGAGGTATGCTACGTTTGTTGTCTACTAAACTCGACAGTATTTATTAGTCTTGATTTGAAGCTTTCGTGACTGCCGGAATCCATACTCTTTGGTTCTTTCGGTAAAGTCACGTAGATATAAAATAAAATAAATCACGACGTTTCGGGCGCAACACAAGCGTCCGTCATCATGCTTTCCCATCCAAGACAAATGGGTCAGTCAAGACGAAATGACACGAACCTGATTGGGAGAAGGGGAATTGCATCATCCTCAACCAGTTATCGATGGGTCTAAGTGAGATTGAGATCATGTCTCTGTTCAAAGTTGGATCCAGCAGAGTTTAGTGGCTCCGAACTTTTGATCCCGAGAAGAGTCGGGAGCACAACAAAAGCCTTCTCATGCGTTCAACGAGGTCAGGGTTGAGTTTTTCAAGAAGCAGTGTGATCAGTGAAACCTGGAAGATGGATTTCCTTGTCCCCATAGGTGAGCCCGGTCATATTTCACTGATGAAGGTTTGACATGGCTCAAGGTCTACAAAGACTGAGGCCGCATGGAAGGCATTGCAAAATGGCGACTTGTACATTAATCCAGTACGTTAACTTCGAGTATCCCGCGGTTGACCCGATGAATGCAAGATGTCTGTTATTTGTGCATACGATTGAAGTGGATTCTCAACAACCCATCCGCAAATGAGGCTTCGAAGGGTGCAGTCCAGACCAGGCTTGACATGCATATTGGCGCTGCCAGACATCAGCGTCAAGCAGTATCGGCATTCATAAAGCCCTATCTCGAAGGGCTTTCTGACAAGCACAGGGACGATCGGCTCGACTCGTACTGTCTGATTACATTAATGACGATGTTGACGAAGCAGATCGAGAACCACATGAGCCATTGTCAGTTCTCCTTCTCGCCAAGGACTTTGGCCAAGCAATTGCCATTCCAAGTTTTGGCTATCATTGACCAGGATCGGACTGCTTCACTTCGAATTTCACGTTGCACCTGGACGTGATGGCGGATATCTCTCGGAACGAGCACAATGTCTTCCTGTACGATGAGCGATGTCAGGGCCAGAACGTCGACACGCTGTGCTCACTGCGAATGGCTTTTCACATTAAGCAGCGCAATCGTCACATTGAGGAAGGCAGGACTCCTCCCGATACGCTCGTCGCCATTCGGGACAAATGTCATACAGAACAAGAACAACGGCATGATCAAGTTGGACTGTTACCTCTCAATGGCATTCTAAGCACGTCATGATTGTCTGCATGATCCCGGGCCACAGCCACATGACTGTGGACCATGTTGTTTCCTGGGTGAAGCAATGCTGATGGCCCAGAACTTGTACCATCCTGATGACATTATCTCATGCATGAACATGGTCAGGGGCGCCAAGTGCGTTGATCATCGGGAAGCTCGCAGGTCTGTCTTCACCATTTGGAAGTCTTTTCTCGACAAGTTCATCGACAATGTGCTGGCTGGTTTCACCGACAATTACGTGTTGAAGTTGTATGATGGCAAGGTCCAGATGCATCACTTGATCTCGACGCCTATCGAGGAAACTGTCGAGATCACTCTTTGCCAGAATTCATCCAGATATTTTGGGTAATGAATGTGGAGCTGTTTGGTAGTGACGTTCTTTCTGTGGGTTTCAATCCAATAGACATTCTCCTACCGCGTGCACCAGCAATCAGATTGGATACAAGCAAGGTGAAATTCAGAAGTACGACACGATCCCAGCACTCTACTTGCCGTACTATCCATCGGCAGTTCAAGACGACGACAAAGATGATGTTCCAGTCCCACCTCAGGCACGTCAGAAAGCTGCTGCTGCTATTGCTCCAGGCACTCACTCACTTTCTTGGTCAGCCCCAAAAAATTGCATGTCCCCCGGACTGAAATCAATGGTCAATATTGACCCTTAGCGAGTCTCAGTCGGCTGAATAAACCTTCGAATTGCGTCAGACTTTTATGAGGACTGATGTGTTATGGTGCACCGGTATACCGCCATTACTTCCATTTGGTGCTATTATCCATACGGTAGTAGTAATTCTGCAAAGCCACCTGGCTACACATCCAGAAATAAAATTTGGAAGGTGTTCTAAATGTACACACAAGAAGCCACGTTTGCAACAAATGGAATTAGTCTTGAAAAAAAAGAATAATTCACATTTACCATAACACACTGGCGAGAAGCTACAACACTGCAAGAAGATTACGCGCAAGAAGAGTAGCTCTTGATTGTTTCCGTCTCATATAGCATAGATGGTGGCATATGGCAGGCGGGATAATGTAGGGGCAGCATGGGAGTGGGCCTGACATAAGTCGTCGTGGCAGCGTTTAAACTATGTTGAGCTGTGCTGCTTCAACATTGCTGTCATCAGCATAGACCTAAGGTTTGGCGGAGGGCACGTCTGCTGTGTAAAAGTTGAGAAGGGCTCTTGCGAGCACCAATCCCGATTGGCAGCCAGCCCGTTGTTGAATGTCCACTTTCGGACGCTGGTCTTGTCACCGAGGTAGATGGAGAACCTGTGGTTGCTCGTTAAGGTGTATATTACTCTTGAGAATCTTGTGGCATCAGATGGTTTTTGAAAGTTTCAGTAGCATGGATAGACTTCACACTCTGAGACCCAACAGGAGATAGTAAAATCAAACTTTACTTATGTAGTGTATGACAACAGAGGCGCACACACTGTTATAGGAGGCAACGTGTTTATTAACCCAATTCACTGTACATCGGGTTCTGTTGTTACGCGTGGCTTCCTTGATCTAGGCTGCTCGCTATGTGTGTGTTAGCTAGCGAACGGGTCTGTAGAACTTCACTAACTGACCACACTTCCCAGCTAAACTACACGCTAACAACGAGCGGTCCAAGCCCAGCTCCCCTTCCTCTTGATCCCCGAAAACCAGGCCCTGAATCCCCCTCGCGCTCCCCCTTTATCCCTTGGCCCCGGCCCCGCTCCTTGCTGTATCAAGGACGGCGCCCATTCTTCCGGCCACGTGTCCTTAGCTCCTCTAATCGGGGGAGCTTCCGGTCACGTGCCCTCAATTCCTCCAATCGAGGCACGACACCCAGAGACCTCTGTGTCTCTCCGCATATAGCACAATTCGTGCAAAAAATGCTATACAAAGTTATTTACAGGACAAAATAAAAGCGAATGACACAACGTAAATAACGATAAGAATTATACGTAAAAAATTACGTAACATAAAATAAAAGTATAATAAAAAGCATAAACACTAAGAGCACCCTAATTAAAAGCCATTATAAAAAGGCATGATTTTAGATTTTTTTGAAAACATTAACTGATTCTGATGCCCTCAGATCCTCGGGCAAGGCCATTCCAAGGCGAGGGCCATAGAAGCTAAAGGCCACTTCCTCATAAGTTTTGGTCCTGGCCTTTGGCACAACCCAGAGACCAGTGCCAGAGGACCTGAGGGATCTACTAGGTTCATACCTTAAAAACGTGTCAGACATTTAGTGACTTAAAAACCAATAAAATAATTTTGAAATCAATTCTAAAGCTGACTTTAAAACAGGTATAATGAATGTATGGCTCTCCTTCTGGTCTTGGTCAGCACTCTTGCTGCAGCATTCTTAATGAGCTCAAGTTTACTTATTGCTTTCTTCGGAAGACCAGACAGGAGAGCATTGCAGTCTTCGAGCCTGCTAGTGATAAAAACATGCACCAGTCAATAATGACCTGAGCGAAAGGGCTGCACTTTAGCAATATTTATGAGGTGATAAAAATCGATTTTGGTGACATTTCGACTTAGGTCTTCGAAGTTCAAATCTGGATCTAAACCACACACCTACGTTTTTAACCTGGTGTTTGGCGTTTTGTGGCAGCGAGCTTAAATTTGCGAGTAGTTTCTCTCTGGGTTTTTGTTGCAATAACCAGTGCCTCTGTTTTGTCTTTGTTCAGCTGCAGAAATTCTGTGACATCCACATGTTAATATCCTCAATACACATAATTAGGTTATCGAATTTTTCAAACATACAGAATGTCATAGTGGGTGTGTCATTTAGTCTTTCTCCATTTCTGTTCAGTCTTTCTACAGTTTCTCTTAAGGTTAAGGATATCCTAATTTCTCTATTGAGGTTTGTTTTTGGCTATAATCGTATTTAGTTTGGCTGGTGCTGTAGCATCAATGATAGCCTTAAATTTGGTATTGATGTTACTAACTAAATCATCATAGAAAGGTAGAATAGGTGGGGGTGTATCATTAATACATTTAATGAAATTTTCAACTACTTCAGAAGACAATATTTCTTAACGACATGCACAATATTACACCATGTCGTGGACACCAATGCAGAGAAAAATAAGAGTAATGGTCTGAAAGAGCCACATCAATAATGGAGGATAATTCAATTATTAGACCCCAGGTAATAACTAGATTCAGTGTATGGCCATGATTGTGAGTCGGCCCACTAACATGTTGAATAAAATCCATGGATATCAAAAGCTTCATGAACTCCTGGGCTTTGGAGTTGGCCACATTATCTACTTGCAGATTGAAATCACCTAAAATGATGTTATCTAGTTTGTACTCACAATCGACAGCAATTCTTAAAATGAATCTAACAAAGCGGGGCATTTAGGAGGTCTATTTGGGGTTATAACAAGCACAAGGGAATGACATTTTAATAAAATAGCGTGATGTTCAAAAAAGCAGAATTCACCAATACAGATCTCCCTGTAATGGAGAGTGTTAGCAAAAATTGCAGCTGTACTTTTGAACTGTACCTTTTTTACCCTGTAGCATGTGGGGGAAGCTTTAATCAGCACAGTGGGCCCATCATTATTTAACCAGGTTTCTGTTAAAAGCATGCAATCTAGCTTACGTTCCGTAATGAGGTAATTTATGACGAATTATTTTTTGCTGAGTGAACATTCGTGATCCCTGCCACTTTGCCATGTGGCTCGATTTTTTTTTAAGACCGGGGATTTGGTGGCATTCAGACAGTCACCTTGTTCTACCAGAGATGCACAGTTGACCATTTTTCAGAGTTCTTGGCAGGCCCTCACGATGACCGTAGTGGCTTGTGAAACATGCCCACCATACATCACCCTGCCAAGCAGCCTCTTACTTTGATCCAATTTGCTTTACCAGCAGACAAGGCGATCTGAGCTGGACTTGGACCTGCCCTTTCGTCCCTCTTCTGTCTGTTAAATCTGGCAACAGAGGGTGGGGTCAATCGTACCAGGACCCTCACCGGTTTCACCCATCTACTGGTGCCCCAACCAGTCGTCCCTCCTTTGCCGAGCACTATTGACAGAGTGAGGTCAATCATACCAGGACCCTCACCCAGGACATAGGTCAGACACTGTCTATGACTATTCATAGACAGCACTGTTCCCACAGAACATCCTGAATACAGGGTGCTTAAAAATGTTTTAATGCTTCCGAGAATTTTTCTTTCCCTTGCAGTTGACTGAAATGGCAACGAGATTGACTTTGGAGCAAAGAAGAAAGGTTGCTGCATGGATGGACGTCTTTCAGTCACACAGTGGTTCGCAACAAATATAGCAAAGTAATATATCCCCAACAAGGGAAAGACTGAACAGAGGCAGGGAAGGAGCCCTCCGATCCCGTAGGAAATGCTCGTCCTGACTTGAATCCCTTTTCAAACATATTTGGGCAGTGTCCAGTGGTCCAGAAATGCACGCCACAATAAAATATGCTACATCTTGAAGGTAGACGGGGCGGAAATAGGTTGGTCAATCTACAAGGAGCCCTGATATGGTTGTTCCGAGAGGTAACGCACTCATTGACGTAACTGTCCGGTTCGAGCTGTTCTCTAGCTCTTTGACTGAAGCCGCATCTGAGAAAGGTACATATTATTGTTTTCTTCGAGAGCAGGTCATGGAGCTTTCCAAAACCAAGAGCATCCATTTTTATTGATTTCCAGTGGGGGAAAGAGGAAAGTGGCCTCTTGGGAATAATAAAGTTCTCACCTCCATTGGATTAACTGGCTCGCGAATGACAACTGTGGAAAAGTTAATTTCTCGCAGAACTCTTCTTTATTCCCTTGATATACAGGGTGCTTTAAAAAATGTTAACACTTATGAGACCATCATTTTTTATGACAAAAGAACGGATTATAAACTGTAACATGTTAACAAATGTATGTCAATAACTTCAAAAAGTCAAAGAGTCTCCACTTCATCGCCATCATTGTTAACGCATGCCTGGAATCTTCTCCAGGTGGTCTCCAGAGCTCGGAGGCACATTTCTTGTGGTATTGTTGCAATCACATTTTCAATTTTCTGTCGGAGGTCTCGCACATCACGTGGCTTGGTAGCATAAACACGTTCCATTACCATACCCCACAGCCAGAAATCACAAGGCGTAAGATCTGGCGAATGTGCTGGCCAATTCACAGGCCCTCCTCTGCCAATCCATCTCCGCTCAAATTTTCAGTTAAGATGAGCGCGAACATTCGAAGCAAAGTGGAGTGCAGCACCATCCAACTGAAAGTATCCGGTAAGCCGTATTTGTAGTGGCAGGTTGACCTCTGTGTAGTGCCGTAGATGGGCCACACTTGCCGGCAGTGGTAGGCAGGGCCCATCTGCAAGGGTACCTCGTACTCCCAGGGGAGGGGCCGCTGTGCCAGCCCAAGAGGGGAAGGGCTGCCGGGGCCTCAGGATCCCATACAGCCAAGCCCCTTGGCGCCACCAACGGGGGGCTACGGGGGGATCTGCGATCCAACACAACCCCACCCCTCAATGGGCAAGGGGGATAAAAGGGCACCTCCCCAGCCGATCGAGACCAGTCGCAGATGAAGACCCAAGACCAGCCAGCTTAGGACCCTGGACCCCCTCGCCCCGTTGTCCTTGTAAGGGCCAGTGCGCTGTGCGGGCCAGTGGTGGGACTCTGGGACTCCCGGCCCTTCGTCCTTATAACGGCGAGGTCCGAGGAAGCCAGAGTCGAGACCCGCACCTTGGCTGGGTCGGGTCAGGTAGCCTAGCCCTAGAGTAATCATAGCCGGAGGACCCAAGAGCGTAGCCAGTGTCAGGCAGGCTAAAAGTAGGCTGTGTCCCTAGGCTGTATTAGTACTGTTGGAGTGGTGCATTGCAATAAAGAAGTTGCCTATGAAAAGTGTCTCCGGAACCCATTACATGTGTAATTCTCCATCATGTGCAAGAAGTCACCACCGTTGATTGTGGTGTTATCAAAAAAGTATGGCCCTACCACTCCTGTCCCAGTGACTGCACACCAGACATTAACCTTGGGACTGTCTAGTTCATGCTCACGCACAACACGAGGATTCTCAGTACCCCAGAAGACACAGTTGTGTTTGTTCACGTGTCCGCTTATGTGAAAGGTTGCCACCTCGCTGAATGCCACAAGCCTGTGAATGTCAGGTTCCAAATTCTTAATGTCTAAGAAAATTTTGCAAGCCTCAACACAAGCGACTTTATTTGCAGGGCTTAAGGCTTGCACAGTCTGCAAATGATATGGCCGCATTCCCAGGTCCTTGTTCAAGATTCTCCACACCGTTGCCCGGGGAAGACCACATTCTGTGCTGAATCGTCTGTTTGATTTCCCTGGGCTACGCAAGAAAGCTTCTTGTGTAACAGCTATGTTTGCAGGGGTTCGGCCTGTTCGTGGTCGACCGCTGTTTCCTTTGTAATTATCAGTTGTAATGCAGCGATGTAGTAGCATTCTCTGAAGTCGCATTGCTGATTTTGTCCTCTGCAAAGTTCACAAAACCCGTACCTTGGACTGGTCTTTCACACCATCTTCGCAACTCACGCTGCCTAGAAGAGGTAAACACATTTAATGGGGACATATGACTGAATTTTCATTTCGAAACTCAATGCTATATTAACAGTTCAATGGGATATGGTACAAAATATGCCAGCACCGCTTTTGTTGAAAGTCAAGTGCGCCCTCTGTTTTTGTATTTTATGTGTTCGTTTTGCACACCATTACAGAATAATAATCTATTCAGTTAATTTGTGACAAAACAGGCAGTCCCCAGGTTATGGAATGGTTAGGTTCCCGAGAACGATCCATAACCCGAATTTTCCTTCTGTTGGAAACTGATCAATTTTCTCCCAAAATCAACAAAAATCCATAGGCGGAAATAGTTGTGCCTCCGCTACTGTTTTCTCTCTTTACTGTATCGCGCTATCGTCCATTTTCTATTGCTCCTGTATCGTATTGCTGTACATATGCTATGATTCTTTCATTTAATCGAATATCTACCCTAACACTACCCATTATTAAACCAATGAAACATATACTGTATCAAATTGTTTGTGAATATAACGATTTAGTATTAATTGTTAACAGAAAGCAGTCACTTCCGAATGTTTGTTTACCGTGCATTAGGTGAGGTCTAGACTTAACATACGCACACGTCGACAAATGTGGAGTCGGCTCATCTGCACACAGTACATACAGTAAATAACTCATGACATAAACTTAAAATGAAGAAAACTAACAATAGAAAAATGGGAAGATAGTTTTGAGCATAGAAAACAAACAATTACTTAATTCTACAAGAGGAAAAGAATTACGTAATGGTACCAAAAAATCAATTTACCTGAATCTTAGTGAAGCTCAATTGTTTTTGGGTTAGATCACGTTATTTATAAATGTGTCGCAAGCCTCCACCACCCAACACGGCCAATCAGTAAAAAGTGTGTCACGTTGACAAAAGACAAATAGTTCACCGGTGTGTTGAGTGAATCCACAATATTTACAGTTTTTGAGTACGACGTTTCGCTGGTAATTGCATCCAGCATCATCGGGCAATTTTCCAGAATAGTGAAGACCTACACCTGCTCCCAGTCTTAAATAGAGCTGCAGGGTAACATCATAATTTAACCCAATCGTACTCAAAAATGGTAAATGTTGTGGATTCACTAATACGTGTTAAGCTGATGGTGGCGTTTTTGTGAAGCAAGGCATAAGGCGGGGCTTCCTGACGTTTCGCTTTGCGTTATTCATCTGCAACCTCACCACCCTGCACTATTTTCGCTTACGTAACTAAAGCAAACATTTCCGCATGTTGATTTTTTTACATGATTCATGGGGAGGATTTCCCTATATTCGGATTTCCGTAAGTGTCGGGTCTTCCGCAACTCGGGGACTGCCTGTAGTTTTTTTTATAGATAGAATAGAAATTGAAATAAATAAGCAGAATCGCGATTAATTTTAACTCAGTGCGGTTTCACTTTGATGACTTTTTCTTGCACTTATAGTGAAAATTTGTGAACAACAACCTCTCCCCTTCCAATCAATAAATAGTAACTTGTTATAATTCACATCAATTCAGACGTTAATAAGTTCTTGTAACATAGCGACCTTCTGGTAAAAGCGACCTCCTGCTCACATTGTTTGCGAAAATTAGTGAGCACCAACCCTATCCTTCCGGTTTAAAAATGGTAAAAAAATGATTCACATCAATACAGAATCCAGTAAGTCGATACTTAGAATAATTCAATCATTCCTACAACAATTGCACATTTGCACAAATATAAGTGGAGAACCAGTGTTTATATATTTTTGATTCACTCTCACATGGTAAAAATACACTTAAGGAATTTCTAAATAAACTCAATTCGCAAAGCCCGGCCATCCAATTCACCATGGAAGTGGATAACACTCTCCCATTCCTGGATCTTTTGCTCGGACACTGCTCAAACGGTAAAATAACACGGAGAGTTTACCGAAAGGAAACGCACACTGACACCTATCTGAATGCAGATCCACATCATCACCCCGCGCAGAAATCCTCTCTTCATTTCTACGAGAATTCACTATCACGAGCAAAGTTAATTTTAAACCCATTTTTTTTCTTCCCAAACGAGCAAAATGTTCACATGGCGAGCGGAGACCGACCGATAATGCCGTCCAGCGGCAGCCCGCAACCGTTTTGTTTACCAGCTGTGCCATTTCCTTTACCAGCTGTGCTGTGCAGTGTGCCCCATGTGCTTTGTCTAGTGGGAAAAAAAAACTTTTGTTTGCATTTCCTTCGCTGCTTATCGCTCCACCCCCCTCCCCCATCCACCATGAATTCCAAGAGGCCAGCAAGTCGAACGAGTAGCAGTGGTGCTCCAAAAGCAAAGAGGAAGGCCATTACACTCCATCTTCGAAACTCACGCTGCCTCCAGTCGCATGGTAGGGAGCAAATGGTTTTATTTTTGATGCCTTCAATTTCCACCCCTGTTAACTCAAATTTTGGCATGGCAATTGTGTCTCCTGCCTGTACTCACATGGTCTGGAATTCTTCCTTCTCACCTTGAGTGGATATTATTGCGGGTTACTTCGTCCGAGGACTTTGCAACACGGTGCAGCTTCCTCACCTGAACCAATGGTGGAATGTTTCGCGAGCATGGGTTCCTTTTACTGAAAGGTCACAGAGAGGTTCATCATCACTACTGCCGTCATCATTTGGAGGAGCAGTCTAATTCAAATAGACTACTTAAATGCATAAGTCCATCATAATCTGCACCACTTTCCTTCCTCAATGAAGAGTTCTGGAAAGGGATTGATTCTCTCAGAGGACCATCTCACACGACGTTTTGTACATAATAGGGAAAGCAACTTCCAATGCCCCAAGGGCATCTTCATTAGTCGTCTGGGTACCAACCAAGACAAGACAGAGATCACTTATCTTGAGACTTTCTGTGGGTCTATTCATAATGAGTGGACATCCGACCCAAGTGCCACTAGCACGTTGTTTAGCCAGGCCTTGTGCCAACTGGCTTGATACATTTGATGCTTTGTTTTGCATGTTTATTTGCTTTTTTGCTCATTAAGGTGTTGATCAGTCTTGAGAGTCTCGTGGGATCAGACGGTTTTTGAAAGTTTCAGTAGCAGTTTCTTTTCAGAGAGGGCTTGAGCAGCTTTCTCACTCTACATTTTGGTTTTCGGCAGCAGTCGGGACCTTTGAGTTGGCTTGGAGGCAGGCCACAGTGGCATCGGCACTGATATTTGGTGTTTCAGGTAGTGAGAGTGGGCAGTGAGTCATTTTAGACCAGTGGATGGGTTCCAAGGTTATCCTTTTGGGAGTTTGAGAAGTCCAGGACGATGATTTTTTTTCCGAAACCAACAAAAGTCAGGAAATCAAGAACTTAAAAAAAAATCTTGCATTCACTGCATGGAAGGCTGTCGCACGACGTTCTTGGCGATGGCAGCAATGAAGCTATTGACACATATCATGCGAGTTCATAGGTGTCAAGAAGGAAGCATCTGTCTAACATAACCAGTAATCACGATCTCAGTTGTGACCTTGGGGAGATCGGGTGTTTACTTTGGTGGCCCCCAATATCTGTAACTCCCGATTATTGGAGATCAGGCTCTCGGAGAGTGTTAATATATTTAAATCCCAACTAAAAAACTCATTTTTTAAGGAAAAGCTTTCTTTGAATTTGTTTTGTTCACTCTGGCTCTTATTCTGCCACGTGGTTCCTTGTTTATTCTTTTCCCCTTTTCATGCAACAGAAGTTGTTGCATAAACCAATAATCATACCAAAAATAACTCAAAGTGAATACAACTAATGTTAAGACACTGAAGTTAGGTCTATGCATAACATTACAAAAATGTTGCCTAATTCATACATGATCATACATGATCGTATGTTCATGAAGCTTAACACAAATGGATATACCTCATGGCACCGTAGTCGTGAGGTACATCAGGCTCTCCGATCTGACATTTACATGCAAATTTAATCTCTAGCCCCGCCCACTTACCCTTGGGTTGCACCCATCTCAAACCTCTATAACCTCTTGCTGCAGCAGCTCTCCCGCTATATTTCTCCTGCCTCAGCAGTTCTGTATTTTTTCACCTGAAGACGATTGCTTGTGTTGCGATCGAAATGTCGTGATTTTTATTATTATTATTTTTCTAAGTGACTTTAGCGAAAGACCCAAAGATGAAGAACATTACATATTTAATACAAACACAACTGTCGGCAGTTGCAGAACATGCTTGCCAACGATGACATTTAATTTATTTTGATAACGAGAATTGTTTTTTCCCCTTTTATCTAGCAACAAAACTGGTGTTAAGTTCTTAAAACACCAAACTGAAACCTTTTACAACGAATCATGTCTGCATTAATCACAATACTTGTGGTTAACATGCAAACAAAAAAACACTGATAATATATGCATTGTCTTTGAAACTGATTAGTCCACACCAGAGATAGCTTTCTGTTGAGCCTCACCTCAAACGGTGTTAGACCAGAGGACGCCAAAAGGCGTACAGCACAAAGATAACGTTGAAGTGTTGTGTAAAACTAATTATTCCTGGCCCGAGACTAATTCGATAATCTATTGAAATACAAATAACTTTAACTGCTTTGACAGCTACAGGCTTATTGCAGACTGGAAGCGTGTTACATAATACATCGTACAATCGTATGCCCTGTAAAGGCATCGCATACTAATTAATAAAAAAACCCCCTCTGATCTTCACTCCTGTTTGACTTACGGTAATGATGTCATCCTGCTCTATTTAAGACCAGAGAGCGGGTGGATAGCTTCACTATTTTGGAAAATCGACGAATGATGCTGGATGTAATTACCAGCGAAAAGTCGTACTCTAATTGTAAATGTTGTTGATTTACTCTCCAACACACTGGTGGGCTGAAGTAGCAACTAATTAGCAGGTTTTTTTTTACGTGACAAACCTTACTGGGAGGCTGTGTCGGGTGGTGGTGGGGGGTTACGACACATTTATACTTACGCGATCTAACCTAAAAAAATTCATTCTGAATAATATTGGTCACAAAAGCCTACGTGTCAAACTACGTTCATTCCATCACAGATTTCATTTCGATGAATCCAGAAGAGTCTGCAGATGAAAGAAGACGTCGATTAAACAGAGAAAGAAAGCAGAGATGGCGTAATCGACAAAGTCAAGAAACACTGGATCGTTTACGACGTGAAAACACTGAAAGAAAGTCCCAGCAACGAGCTCGGCAAACTGCTGAAATGTCACAAGCAAGACGAGCGACTGCTGCAGAAGCACGTCGTGAAGCTCGCAAAAGGCAGAGTCAAGCTATCCTTGAAGCCACAAGTTTAGATGAATTGACAATCAACGTAGTCGATTAAACAGAGAAAGACAGCAGAGATGGCGTAATCGACAAAGTCAAGAAACACTGGATCGTTTACGACGTGAACATACTGAATGGCATACGTCTGGTGATTCTTGAAATGCACCGTAATTTTGTTGTGGCTGAAATCATTTCAGAATCCAATCGTGGGAATGTTGTCTTCATTCCCAGCAATTGATCTGGCAACGTCTGATCTGAATTTACCAGTTATTTTGAAGCGAAGATGGCTTCCCATCATCCCTGCATTTGCTATCACTGAATAAAACTTTATCTCAACGAACCTGTTTTTTCCTACGGACAACTTCATGTTGTTGCTTTGTCAAGATGCAAAAATCCAACCAAGGTCAAAGTGCTGATTCAACAAAATTCATCTCAAGGAAAACTTTTCCTTAGTCTTTTTCATTAAATGTATTTTTATGGACCCATCATATGACGGGCAATTACACTAGTTATTCACATAAAGCACAATGGTAATACCATGGTACGTAAGAAAAACATGTAAATGATATAAAGTGATACATTTCTTGATAATGTGTGCATAACAAAATGAGCACGTCAGTGTCAATGATGGCTGTTCAATTCTCTTTGTGCATATGGCAATATATTCAGGAGCTATAATGGCAATGTTGAGGTCTGTTAGCCCATGATGAGAGGACTTCAGGAGAGAGTGTGCGTGTGGAGTTTTTGCTATTCCTCCGTTGAAGAGTGCAGACTACAGTGGTTTGCTCATGTTCCATAGTTCGTGGTAAACTACTGTAGACTGCGGCGCTCCTTCGACGGACGAAGAGCATTATGGTCGTATCACAGGAGGCGCGCGCAATTCCTGGCGTATTTATTCAATTTGTACATTTGTGGAGACTGTTAACAAAAAAATATTGCAGTGTTAAAACCATGCGTGTTTTGCACGAAAAAAATCAACTTGGTGCACGACATTGTAAACTATAGGCTAGTCTCGTTTAATGGGTGTCGTTTCTATGAGAATTCGCTATCAGAAGCAAGTTAATTTGAGACCCATTTTTTTTATTCCCAAAACGAGCAAAATGTTCACTTGGCGAGCGGAGACCTACCAAAAATGCCATCCAGCGGCGGTCTGCAGCTATTTTGTTTACCAGCTGTGCCGTTTTATTTACTAGCTGTGCTGTGCAGTGTGTCCCATGTGCTTTGTCCAGTGAAATAAAAAACTATGGTTTGCATTTACTTCACTGCTTATCGCTCCACCCCCCCTCCCCCATCAACCATGAATTCCAAGAGGCCAGCAAGTCGACAGAGTAGCAGTGGTGCTCCAAAAGCGAAGAGAAAGGCTATTACACTCGAGATGAAGAAATACATAATAAGGCGATACGAAGGTGGAGAAACGGTCCGCGACATCAGCAAATCTCTGGGCCTGGCCACATCAACTGTTTGTGGTATACACAAGGCCTCCGAGAATATTAAGGCCAGGGCGCAGAGGATGACGCCACTCGTTGCCGCGAAACTCACGAGGAAGCGCAGCCCACTGATGGAAAATATGGAGGAGTCGCTGGGCATGTGGATAAAGCACCAGAATGAGCACCGCATGCCGCTCAGCACGGCGCTCATCCAGGCGAAGGCGCTCCGGTTGTTCAACGATTTCAAGAAGAGAGCCGGCGAAAGCGCGGCGAGTGAAACATTCGGCGCCAGCACCGGGTGGTATGCGAAATTTAAGGGGCGTTACAACTTGCGCCACCTCAAGATGACTGGCGAGACAGCAGGCGCCGACGTCGAAGCAGCCGAGGCGTTCAAGGGTACCCTGAAGGAGATTATCGAGGGGGGTGGCTACTCCCCCGAGCAGGTGTTCAACGTGAACGAGACCGGGCTGTTTTGGAAGAGGATGCCGGCAAGCACGTTCCTATCCAGGGAGGAAAAGACGGCGCCTGGCTTCAAGGCTTCTAGGGATCGGCTCGCCCTGCTCGTGGGCGCCAATGCGGCTGGCGACTGCAAGCTCAAGCCACTGCTGGTGTACCACTCCAAAACGCCAAGGGCTTTGAAGGGCTGCGTCAAGGCCGACCTTCCCGTCATCTGGCGCTCCAACAAGAAGGGTTGGATCACCGCGAGCGTGTTTCTCGACTGGCTGAAGAATCACTTCTGCCCAGCTATCGAAAAATACTGCAGAAAGAAGAACCTGGATCACAAGGCACTGTTACTGCTAAATAATGCCCCCGGTCATCCACCCACGCTCTCTGAACTTTCGGAACATGTCAGGGTGGAATTCCTTCCAAAAAACACCACACCGTTGATACAGCCCATGGACCAAGGTGTCATTCGCACCTTTAACGCGTACTACATGCGTAGAACGATGGAACAGATCGTCGCAAACACGGATAAGGACGTGCAAACAATACGAGAGTTTTGGCGCTCTTACAACATCATGGACGCCATTGACAACATCAATGAGGCGTGGAATCAAGTGGCACAGACAACATTGAATGCATGCTGGGGAAAACTGTGGAAGGAATGCAAGCGTGACCTAACCGGTCTTCAGGAGCCAGTTAATGATATCCATAGGATCGTCGAACTTGCCAGGGATGCTGGATTTCACGAAGTGGAGCAGGCTGATGTGGTGGAAGTGTTGGAGTCTCATGGTGAAGAACTAACAAATGAGGAATTTATTAAACTGAGGAAAGGATTAGTTTCAGTCGAGAAGGATGATGGCGCTGAAGCTACCAAGTCACCCACCCCAACGTTTACCCTGCGAAACTTGGCTGAAGCTAACAGAAGAATTGAAGAAGGACTCGCCATCTATGCCCGGAATGATCCGAACCAAGAACGCAGCAGTGAAGTGAATCGTGTGATACGCAAGGCGATGTCATGCTATACCGAGCTGTATCTTGAGAAACAGAGGCAAGCTTCAGAGTTGAAGATCAATAGGTTTTTCACCACTTCGACCTCCGTAAGATCAACTCTAACTGTAACCTCTCTAACACCATCCCCTAGTGGTGTGTCATTGTCCAAACGACAAGATTCGTCAGAAGAATCTTCGGAAGAAAAGGCTGACGATCCTGCCTCTCCTGCGACCCACTAACATCCTTCTCATCAACTCATGTCATCTCATAGCACTATTATTCTGTGGTACAAATTGCAAATTCTTTGTTCAGGGCCTTGGTTAAGGCGCTATGTAAATTAAAACAAGATAGGAACATCTACCCTTAACATAAAAAATTCCAGGTTCCTTGCGAGAGCTGTGGTTCTTAATGCATTGTGTTATGCTGATGTTATACTACCTTGTTATGACGTTTAAGTGTATTTCTCGCATTAAAAAAATAGTTGTTCAAGAGTGTGGAACATTTTTGGAGGCGACAACATAAATCTCGGCTTTTAACGCGGGAGGAGTCGATGGGAAAATGACGGTTGTTTAAATCAAGAATTCTGTTACCAAACAATTTTCATGGAACGTATCTCCCTCTCGTCAATCGAGACATGGCTTGCGTTGAATTGTATTGAGTGTGGTGTTTATGCTGTTAAAAAAACACAATGGTATCCTTATAGATGAGCTGCTAAACAACCCACAGATAATATTAACCTCGTGGGAAAATTGAGAAAACGATAAGTGTGGTGATTTTTTTTTGGTTTTGTGTTATCATTGGGGACTGTTTCCAAGTTTCCATTCATGAATATGCCGTGATGACGTTGTAACGTGTAAACTTTGGTCGTTTAAATGTTTGTTGCAGAAAACTTATTTTGGTTTAAAAATCAGCACCACTGGAATGGATATATCATACTGTGTTGTAATTATGTTTAGTCTTTATATCTAGAAAAGCTTGGTCCCTCAACTAATTAAATAGGGTTCTGCTTTAACCTGAGATATTGGCGACGTGGCTTGCCCAGAAAGCTCCTGAATGCCTGTCACTTGTTTGCAACCCACCTTAAATTTTGATGAACTTCACTCATTGGTTCGTCAATTAATTTATTTCCAACTTGACTGTTTGTCCATTGATTCATTTGTTGACGTGCGTGCAAGTCTTAGCTTCTTCAGAATTCAGTCGGATTGTTTTTCAGATGTGAAGTTTATCGCAATGTTCTCCCACATAAGCTACATTGGCTCCCAGTCTCAGCCTTCGCTGATCTCAAGATTAGTATTATTATTGATTGAGGTTCTGTCAACATCATTACAAAATATGTCACCTATTTGCTCATATCCAGGAGCAAACTGTTGAAAGCTGCTTAATCTGTCGAAGGGCACGTCACAGACTTGAAAGCTCCATTCGGAACTGGCAGTGGTGATAATGATTCACGTTGGAGAACAATCTGCAGAAGAGAGCATCAGGGAACCACTGAGATCCCTTCACTTTTATCACACTAGGGGCAGCATTTTCCCAGCTACCTTGCCAATAGACCAATATGTTGTATCACGTGATAGTCAAAAACCATCACGAGTTGAGAACAGAGCATTTTTCAGGCTCAGGGCAAAAACTAATTTGGCATGATGCATTTTCACACAATCATCAGTCACCAGACGGAAACCATCGTCAACTCACTATACTTGAGAGCATGGCTCAATCACACGTAGCTGTAGGGATTCAAATCCAAAATGTAAGCAGCGCTCTGATGCTTTAAGCCACATGGCTATCTCAAACGACAATATTTTTATGACGGAGTTATTTTCTACATTAAGATTTTGATATACGGTTATTTGTTTTTTTTCTCTCGTCTTGTTCGATTGACTCATCTTGTGTTTAAATATAATGCAGTTTTTGTTATAAATTAGTCTTGCTGGATGACTCGATGTGCTCCTAGGTTCCTTGTTCAAGCAATGTGCTCCGGAACTCGCCATCATGATCAGGAATATCGCAAATGCCTCCTTCTCTTCGGGGTGTTTTCCGTCCAACCTCAAACCTGGCCTGGTTTCTCCCTTGTTAAAGAAACCAAGTGTAGATCCGGATGACCCATCTAGATATCGTCCCATCACTAACCTCTCGAACCTCTCTAAACTCCTTGAATGACTAGCCCTCGCCCAGCTAAAACCACACATCACCTCCTCCGCAAACTACTGCTGCTTCCAGTCAGCTTACCGTCAAAACTATTCCACAGAAACAGCACTCACTAGAGTGCTCGATGACATTTTAACGATCATTGATTCCGGCTCAACTTGCACTTGGGAGTCTGGACATTTCGTCAGCCTTCGACACCATCAACCATTCGCTCCATACTTCCCTCCTGAAATCCGACTTCGGTATATGCGGCTCAGCACTCAAGTGGATAGTTTCGTACCTTTCTGACCGGCAATCTTCAGTCAGGGTGGGCATGTCCACATCGCCTGAAACAACAGCATTATGCGGGGTTCTCCAGGGCTCTGTTCTAGGTCCCCTGCTCTTCACAGCCTACACTTCGCCGATCGGCCAGCTCATTGCAAGCTTCGGTGTTAAGCATCACTCATATCCGGATGACACGATTCTATTCACCGCCATCGATTCTAGCAATGCATCTGGATTCGAGAGGCTCTCGGAATGTACCACCGCCGTGCAACAATGGTTCACTGCACACAACCTAGCCCTTAATCCGAAAAAGTCAGTGGCCATCATGTTAGGTACCAAGCAACGTCTCAATTCAGCAGCACTCCCCACACACATACACATCTTCGGTCACAGCATCAAGTTCACCGACCACTTCAGCTACCTCGGTGTCATCCTAGATTCAACTTTATCCTTCGACCATCAAACCAACCATATCATCAGCTCATGTAACTTTCACCTGAAGGCTCTTAGACACATAAGTCCTCTCATCTCTACTGAAATTGCCAACACATTGGCATGTTGCATAGTTGGGTCTTGCCTTGACTATTGTAACTCCGTCCTAGTCCGGACCTCCGCTGGCAACCTAAAGAAACTTCAAAGACTACAAAACAACCTGGCACGCGTCGTCATTGCCCACACTCATCCCCTTCTCGACTCACTAGCTTGTCTCCGTGCTCTCAACTGGCTACCCATCGCCAGTAGGGTCACATACAAGACCGCCTGCCTCTGCCACAATGCCTTCATATCCGCTTGCCCGCCGTACCTTTCTTCATTATTGACAACTTGCAGCTCGGCACACGGCAGATGCCTGCGCAGCGCGACTCACGACCTCCTCTTGATACCAAGATCCAGGATGGTCATGTCTATGCGCCGCTTCTCGGTGGCAGCCCCAACAGTCTGGAACGATATCCCTCTGCACATTCGCAGCATCACCTCAATCGTCTCCTTCAAGAGACACTTAAAAACTCACTTCTAGAATCATGCTTTTGAGCGACTCTGAGCTTGGCTCCGCGCCTCTGAGTTGCGGCCACTACGTCTGCAAATTTGCGCGCATTACAAATTGAACTATTATTATATCTACACCTGTGAATGTGACATATCGGATGTGTTTTGAATTGAGCATTGAAAATAAAGACCGTTCCTGTGACGACGCAGAACAAAAAAACAGCTGATCACAACCACATTTCAGGGTTTTTTGTTTGTTTTATTTCATGACTGACCTCACGGGAGGGGAGTTCCAGGCATGCGTAGCAGTGGAAGATACGGAGGGGGACACATCATGGAGAGCCATCTGGCCTCTCTTCTTGAGCCCGGACCTCGTTTTACTGGAGCCAGAACCAGTCCACTGGACCTGTATTCCAGACGTCCAGGTGGTACCAGTCCATCTCCTCCCAATTGGTGATGGGGCACTTGTCGAGAGAGTGGAGAGTTTCCCATACCTTGGCAGTGTGCTAATGACCAGCTCTGGTTTAACAGCAAAGGTTTCACTCCGAATCAGTCGAGCCGCATTATCTTTTCATCGCTTGCGTAATGCTGTGTGGCTACCTGGTCTATCACTCCGCACGCAGCTTCAGGTTTTCTCAGCCACAGTCATTCCCTCCCTTCTCTACGCTTGCGAAACTTAGACCCCCCCCTAATGGAACATCTTCGCCGGTTAGAAACATTTAGGATGGCCTGCCTACGATCCATCTTGGGTTTAACCAGGCTGGATTGTGAGGAAATCACAAATCTTTGAAAGATGTGAACAAAGTCCCATCGGTGAGCTCCTCCGCCAGGCAAGGTTGCATTGGCTGAGTCATGTAGCCCGCATGCCCAGCCACCGCATGCCTAAACAGCTTTTGTTCGGCCGGATCGAGGGGGTTAAACGGGCACGGCACGGGTTAGAGAAGAGATGGAGTGATGTGGTACAGGAGGACGTGGAGCTGAGTGGACTTGCCGATGACTGGTACCAGCAGTGTCAAGATGGGCCTCTGTGGAGGCAGCTCGTGAAGGACGCTACTGGACAGTTGGAGGCTGTCGCCCTCCAACAACGGAGGGTGGAGGAGCGACGCTCACAACAATGAGCGGAGTGCCGGGTGGCTAAAGCACAGCAAGTTGCCACAGTAGGGGGCACAGGTGGTGCATCAGCCAGTCGTCTCAGTCAGTCGACCTGTGCTATCTGGATCTGCCCCGTGACCTGCCAGCAGGCGTTCGACACTTCACGTGGCCTCAAGGTGCACATAGCCTGGCACAAGCGTTGTGGTGACGTCACCACCACTTAGTGGTGAATGGCGGTTGTTGTTGTTGTTCAGTCTATGTATGTGCGAGTCGATACGTGTGTGTAAGTCTGTGTGTGTGTGAATCGATTTGTGTGTGTAACTACATGTGTGTGTCTAAAGTCGATGTCTGTGTGTGCGAGTCCATATGTGTGCGTGTAAGTCCATGTGTTTCTACGTGTGTGGGTCGATGTCTGTGTGTAAGTCCATGTGTGCGTCTGCCTTTTCACCTGGGCAACGCCGGGTACTTACCACTAGTGAGATCATTGATATCTCATCGATGATGATGCATTGAATGTGTCGTATATATTCGGTCTTGAAAAATTATAAAAAATTAAATGAAAATTGAAAAATGTGTAATTCTCCGAAAGTATCCAAATTGATATAATTATGCCAATTATGCATGGTCATTGTGAATATATAATTGTATTACGTTATGCAATTGTATGTAATTATGCTAATTATGGATTTTTATAATTGGGCTTGGCTTCGTTGTCTTATCAATCGGAATACAATGATTCTCGCTTTAACTATTACTGATTATGTTTTACTCTTTATGTCAAGTCTCAAAATTCAGATATCTCCGCAGGATACAGTTCTTATAATTAAGATTATTAAGCATGAACTTAGGAAGGCACCACTCAGACTGTGTTAAGCAACTTTAATCTAAAAATAAGTATAACCCGTAAAAACAAAGTTTTTCACTATAAATCCTTTATATGTGTGGTGGCTAGAGTCCTCTCGTCCTTTGGCTTGAGATGGCTGCCACCTATGGGTCAGATGATTGTCTGCCAGTATTAAGCAATTGGTAATTAAATATTTAATTTGTTTTCCCTAAACAGTGTAAAATTTTGGGAAAAAAATTTCACGAACATTAATTGTCTCGCACAACGAGTCTGTGTGCAAAATGTCAGCTCGATTGGATCACGGGAAATGGGTTAAAAAACGACCGAAAGATTTACACGGTCGTAAGCAAGCAAGCAAGCACGCAAACAAGCGAACTTAATATAAAGGATTTAAAAACATAACATTCAAATATGCAAACTCTTGTGCTAGGAATTGCAACACAGTACTCTTGGAGATGTCCTCCTCATTGATCCGTACATTTAACCCTCAAGTTACATTTGGTAACTGGGTAACAGAACAATCTGCTAATTCCTCAGAGTAAGGTGATCATACACGGCGACAGGAAAAAGCACTAATGAAACATGTGCCTAAGCAAAAGTAGACCTCAATGAATTCATTGGTAAGATTATGTGATTAACGAAATGTCTTGGAACAATGGGGTACGGCAGTGTTCCTGCTTGTCTAGCAAATGCTCATCAATTGGCTAAGGCTTCAATAAATTAGCAGGCAATATTTTGTGATCAAAAGAAAAATTTCAACATGACTGTCCCTGTGAGTGTATAGATTCGTAATGTAGATGTTGAGAAAATGTTTAGTTTCATCAATCAATTGGTATAGTTATGAAATTAACAAAAAATGACATACTTCTAACGACCGTATCTACGTAACTCAATGGGCAGCAATGCTTTTCACGATCAGCTAATAGTTAACGCACTACCTTAGGATGGCCACCCTTTTTGAAACACAAAAGATAACTTTGGAGTAATCTTATTAATTCCCGATATGTGCGTTATGTGTGTGTTGGTGTATTGTATCCTTGCTCAACTCTTTGCGTTAAGCAGACGCCGAGGTGGGGCGTTTCTTGTACCAAAAATTCCTTGGTTCCCTGCTGAGCACTGAGTCGTGTGTGTGGGCGTGTCATACTGCAGGCCTCTCTGCTGCTGGATGACGCTTTTCTTGGTACTTTTGCCGAGCCTTTTGTAACCGTCGCTTTCGTTGCTTTGCATCTGAATTGTGACATGTGTTCACGCATAGATTTCAATCGAGCATCACGAGCTTCTGGTGTTTCTTGATTTCTTGATTGTTTGTGATATTCACGGTCTCGTTGCAATCGGACGTCACGTGCTTCTGGTGTTTTATCATTCAAACGATCACGTCGTTTCTGAAGTCTGGCGCGCCTTGCCTCTTCGTCCTCATTAGCACGCTTTTCTTTGTACTTTTGCCGAGCCTTTGCTAACCGTCGCTTTCGTTGCGTTGAAGTTTCATTCGGATTTCTCTTCCCACGATCCCTTTTTTGTTTAGCATTTGTCGTTACCGTAGTTCCTGTTGGCACGAGTATAGGACAAATAACATTGGGTGAAAGAGTGGTTGGCAATTTTTTATAAGTCAGGGCTTGAACTCATGATCTGAGAGTTGAATTTTTTTTACATAAAACCACATTTCCAAACCTCAACCAACTTATCAACGACAGACAACTCACTTTAAAATATGCTACAATTTAAAGCTCTATATGAAGTACCAAAAATCTTAGTTAAAAAAAAATACTAATTTCATACCCGATAATTAATCTTTTGACCTTTAGATCGAAAGGCCAATACTCAACCTATGTCCATCACATGTAAATGGATAAAACATCAATATGAATGTTAAAAGTTCACTTTAAATGGGGTTAGTGCAAAAATGATGTCACTGACCCTATCCATGCATTGTCCCATTGATGCACTACATCATAATAAATAACTTTTGTAAAGACACCAAAGCATTTAATGTGACGAGTTTCGAACTCTCGACTCCTACGTTGGTATTAATTTTTATTTTTCACAAAACCTGTTCGCAAAGCACTCGTCGAGTAAGGCTTCCATACAAAATGTTAATTGCTTTAAACAAGCCAATGGATTAATTGATGCCGATTTTGATACAGGTATGCATTGTCTCCGGATCCGAGTACGTGTGCTAAATTTTGAATTGATTGGACAACAGGAATTAGAATAAATTTTGATTACAAGATTTGACCACGACAAACATAGGAGTCAAGTTAAATAAAACCGTTGAAAAACTACGACGCTTTGATCGCAACACAAACGGTCATCATCAGGATGATGATGACCACATCCTGATGATGATCGCTTGTGTTGCCATCGAAACGTCGTAGTTTTGAGTTATTTTTTTTACCTATCTACGTGACTTTACGGAAAGACCAAAAGAATACACAAAAATATTCCTTGAGGAAAGGAATTAGCACAAAAAGCATAAAAAAATTAGTTTGCTAATCTAGAAAGGAATATGACAACAGATTAGGATCGTAGAAGTGGCTTATCACATGGACATTTATAGGAACCCAAACACTTAAAACACGTGCCGCAAAATGTGGAGGGGAAAACCATAGGACCGAGAGAAAAATCCACGTGACCACGGTGAAAGAGACGCACAAACTCCAAATATACAACAGGTCTCAGGGTCAGGATCGAACCCACGACCTCAGGTGTCCATCTTATTTATTGCAGCATGACCGAGATAATGTGGATGATTAGGAGCATAAATCATCATGCGAACGCCTATCATCCTCGCAGCCGCAGCGGCTTTTTTCTAGATCATCAAACAAAGATGGTCACCGCATCGCACGCTTTCAGATGGAAGAGCTCTGCCAATGTTAGTAAGCCACTAGGAGCTATGTACTTTTAAATAATAATTTAGATTGGCAAACTCATTTTTTAAAATGCTTTTTGTGCTTAGTATGTTGTCCTTTACCCCCCCCGCACCTCAGATTAGCACGGTTGGCTATGTACGGTGCGAAAGAAGTTCAACATAGAAACGTACATGAAACAAGAAAACTATAATAGTTTTTTTTTGGGTTAGATTGCATTAATATAAACGTTTCGATCGCAACACAAGCAATCGTCATCCCCTGATGACGATTGCTTGTGTTGCTGTCAAAACGTCATGATATTGTTATTATTTTTCTATCTACGTGGCTTTACCGAAAGACCCAAAGAATATGAATTCCTGCAATCACAAAAGCTTTAAGTCAATTAGTTACTACTTTAGCACTAATCGGTTGTGTTGGAGAGCAAAAACCCAAAGCGTTTTTTTTCTTTCCTCTCTCTCCGCGACCTTACCTTCGCCAACGTCCTCCTCATCCAACACCACCTCGACAAAGTTTTGATCTGCAGTGGCCGGGCAACCACGGGAACTCCCCATCACCACCGGTCTCTCATTGGCTCCTCCCCCAAATATGAAGTGATTAAAATCCAGGCCTGTAATAATAATAAGCACTTTCATTCATGACAAATGGAAGGTCTAATAATACAGTGGTTCTTAACCTTTACTGTAGCCTTGCACCCATTTGGTTCCCAATCGTAATTATTTTTAGAATGTTAATAAACACAGAGGGTTTGATGAAACAAAATATTTGTTACTTACGTGCCCGTGCTTAATTTGTGTTTCAACGATTTGCCTTAAAAAAAAATATGGCCATGTCTCACAGCCCCCAAAAAGGGCATCTCGGACCCCCAGAGGGTGCTTGCGCCTCAGGTTAGTAACCACTGGTCTATTAGATGTAGAAAAAAAACAACCACTGGTCTATTAGATGTGTAATGACAGGGTGACCCCTGCCGGCCTGCAAGGGTAATTACAGTTATAGCTGCATTGCATAATGCCTTATTATGAAGGGGTGTATCTGGGGTAAAGGTCAAGGGCGAAGTCAGTCGAGAAGGTCCGGGAACCATCCCGAAGGGTCTAGAAGGTTCTAGAAAGGGGGCGTGGCCAGAGGTGGAGCTTGGCCACGCCAGGCAGATATAAGGAGCACCGAACCAGAGCTTCGGGGCTGTTAGTGTGGGGTCTGGGTCCTGGTTGCGTCGCTGCCGTCGTCATCTCTTCGTCTTCGACCACGTGGCTGTTCTTTTGCAAGACCAGCTCCGTCGCCAACGCTACGCTTGTCAACCCACATGCTTAGCGCAGGACGGAGATGGGCTGCGTGTTTGGACAGTCTAGGTGTAGCCACGTTACCAAGTGTATCGCCCTGTGTGCTCTTAATAAATAAGAAGCCTTCTACTAGACGTGTGCTGGAAGTCGCTCACTACAGATGTAAAAAAAAAACAGTTTTGCATAGGCAGGTTATGGATATATCAAATACACTTTTGAATTCTTGACATGTTTACTTAAGTTTTACTCTTCGCATCTTCAGCTTTTAATTCCACTGAACTACAAGTTATTATTTTAAGTCATTAAACCTAAACTGACACATTGTGGGTGTGTGCGCCTCAGGTTAGTAACCAATTGTCTATTAGATGTGTAGTCACGTTCAAGGTGTCACTATGGTGTTAGCACCAGCCACTGTCACAAGAGTGCTACTGTGCGTCTGGAACCTCTCTCGGGGGCCAGAGTAAGTACGGCATGCGAGCAGGCCCTAGGGGGCATAGTCCTGGTGACGACCTGAGAGAGGGCAAGTGAGGACGGGGTAGTCTGGGTGAACCCGAGAGGACATGTGACCAGGGCAGGGTAACAAAGGGGGCTTTGAGGGACACGTGATGCTCGGTCGGGATCCTTCGGGAAAGATCCCGAAGGATGTGTGGCCGAGGGCGGAGCGAAGCCATGCTCAGGAGCATAAAGGGGCAGTCCCGGGAACATTTGCAGGAGCAAAAGAAAGGGGGAGTAGGGCAGAGGTGAGCTTGTGCAGTGCAAACAACAAAAAATGTCAACTATTTTTTTTTACAAATATATCCTCCATTTAACAATTAATTAATATGGAACAAACTTAACGAGCCCATAAAAGGTAAAACTGGACGTAACATTTATCAGCACACGATAATATTACTTTAGGAAAGGAATGACAACAGATTAGGATAGTAGAAGTGGCTTATCTCATGGACATTTATAGGAACCCAAATACTTTAAACGCCTGCTGCAAAATGTGGAGGGGAAAACCGTAGGACCCAGAGAAAAATCCACGTGACCACGATGAAAGAGACGCACAAACTCCAAATATACCACATCCTCGCAGCGTTTTTTGGCTGGCCATCGAACAAAGATGGTCACCGCATCGCGTGCTTTTAGATGCGCTTCTGCGGCCATCTGGAACAGCTCTTCCTTCCGATATTAGTAAGCTACTAGGAGCTATGTACTTTAAAATCATCATCTAGATTGGCAAACTCATTTTTAAAAATTATTTTTGTGCTTAGTATGTTGTCCTTCCCCCCCCCCCCATCTCCGATTAGCACAGTTGGCTATGTACGGTGCGAAATGCATAAATATAAATGCGTTGTTAAACCCGCCACCACTCGATACAGCCAATTAATAAGGCTTGTCACGTAAAGAAAATGTGCCAATTAGTTAATACTATAGCACTAATCGGTTGTGTGTTGGAGAGCAAAACCCACAGCGACATTTACACATTTGAGTACCGCGACGTTTTCGCCGGTAATTACAACAACCAGCTTCGTCAGGCGATTCGCCAGAACTGTGAAGAAATCCTCATCCTGTTTGTGGCGAAAGCCTACTTAACGCGTTAAACCAAACGAGAAACCGTTTTTTTTCTTTTCTCACTCTCTCCGCGACCTTACCTTCGCCAACGTCCTCCTCATCCAACTCCACCTCGACAAAGTTCTGGTTTGCAGTGGCCGGGCACCCACGGGAACTCCCCATCAATGCCGGTCTCTCATTGGCTCCTCCCTCAAATTTTAAGCGATTAAAATCCAGGCCTGTAATAATAACAATAAGCACCATCATTCATGACAGATGGAAGGTCTAATAATACAGTGGTTCTTAACCTTTACTGTAGCCTTGCACCCCTTTGGTTCTCAATCGTAAAAAAATGTATGTTAATAAACGCATATGGTTTGATGAAACAAAGTATTTATTACTTACATGCCCGTGCTTAATTTGTGTTTCAAAGATGTGCCTTATAAAAAAAAAAATATGGCCATGTCTCACAGCACCCAGAAAAGGCATCTCGCACCCCCAGTTTGTGCGTGCGCCTCAGGTTAGTAACCACTGGTCTATTAGATGTGTAGTGATGTTAAGAGTGTCACTATGGTGTTAGCGCCATCCACTGTCACAAGAGTGCTACTGTGCATCTGAAACCTCTCTCGGGGGCCAGAGTAAGTACGGCATGCAAGCAGGCCCTAAGGGGCGTAGTCCTGGTGACTACCTGAGAGAGGGCAAACGAGGACGGGGTAGTCTGGGTGAACCCGAGAGGGCACGTGACCGGGACAGGGTAGCAAACGGGGCTTGAGGGACACGTGATGCACGGTCGGGATCCTTCGGGAAAGATCCCGAAGGGGGCATAGCCGAGGGCGGAGCGAGGCCACGTTCAGGAGCATAAAGGGGCAATCTTGATTTAAAGCTTTCGTGACTGTAGAAATCCATACTCTTTCGGTAAAGTCACATATTTTATACCTACGTGACTTTACCTGAAAGAACCAAAGAGCATAAAGGGGCATCTTCTTGGTTCTTTCGGTAAAGTCACGTAGAAGGGAAGTAATAAAATAATAAAAATAAAACATAATAAAACAATTCTCACGACGTTTCGGCCACAACGCAAGCAGCCGTCCTCAGGTGAAAACCAGGTCCGTCGAGGCGACAGAGTCTGACTCTGTCGCCTCGACGGACCTCGTCGTGAGAATTGTTTTATTATGTTTTATTTTTATTATTTTATTACTTCCCTTCTACGTGACTTTACCGAAAGAACCAAGAAGATGAATCCCTGCAGTCACGAAAGCTTTAAATCGAAATCATAAAGGGGCAGTTCGAGACTGTTCCCTGGAATCAACCCTAGGCGCTACGTCTCTCCGATCTTCGGTCTCCGCTCGGCATCGTGGGTCAGTCAGGATGTTACTGACGATGTTACCGACTGACACGGTTATGTAGTTACCCTGTTGGGGTCTAGTTAACGTGTGTACGTTTATATAATTAGCCCTGTTGGGGCTGTGTAATAAACGTGTTGCCTCCAAGTCAAGTGTGTGCCTCCGTAAATAACACTACAGATGTAAAAAAAAACAACCACTAGTCTATGAGATGTTAAAAAAACAAGTGTTTCATGGGCAGGTTATGGATATATGAAAGACAATTTTGAATTCTTGATGTGTTTACTTAAGTTTTCCTCTACGCATCTTCAACTTTTACTTCCACTGAACTAAAAGTTATTATTTTAAGTCATTAAATCAAAACTGCCACATTAACATTGAAACATATAATACCATGTACATATTTCTTTTTTATATTGCTGTTGGGCTGGCTGGAGAGACGGATGGAAGAATGTGCATGTCCAAAGGATGTGGGCATTGTTCGTTTGATGATGACGCAAAAGATTACTAGTTCCGTTTTTGGCGAGTTATGTTCCTTAAATATAAGCTCTAGCAGCCAAAAATCAAGACACTGGCCCTCACTCATCCGAATCGTGGACGGCTACGGACATGGCAAACAAAAACATAATTGAGGAACCAGGAGTGTGGCAGTATCAGGCTTCTCTCGCTCACGACAATCCTCCATAAATGGTAGATCAAACAATCATCCAATGACAACTGTGGTAAAGTTCAAGCCGTCAAACGTGTCATCGACGATTTCGCCATTCCATGAACATCCCCGGCAGTGTGTCGCTGCAATACATACAGCGTCTACTGACATCTGAGAGGTGTAGTAGTAGTTGTGCTGTTGTTTTTATAAAGGACGTCGTTGGTCACCGCAGAGAACCGTAGCGACACGACCACCGCCATTCTATGATAGCTGGGCACCAAAACTGTGCCACACGCCCTTCCCCGCATTGGCCTCATGGGGGAGCCTCCGGACCAAAAAAGTTAATTTAATTTAGTTTTTCTGCCGAATCCATTCCAATTACGTACTTACTTACGTTATCGGAATGTGAAAGGGTTAATTGCCCAACCACACCTTAATTATGTACCTTCGTCTTGGAAAAATCTATTTCGTGTGTGCCCAGTGTGTGCCCACAGTGTGTGCCCACAGTGTGTGCCCACAGTGTGTGCCCACAGTGTGTGCCCACAGTGTGTGCCCACAGCGTTAAAACAATGATACAGGAAAGCCACCCACACGGATGCCTATCTAAAGCCTGACTCCCACCATCATCCAGCCCAGAAGAATTCCCTCATCAAAACACTACACCATAGGGCCCGTTGCATCTCCGACCAGCAACACCTAGCCAGTGAGCTGGAGCACGTACACCAAGCCCTCAGGATGAATGGATATTCTGACCGTAAAATCCGCAACGCTGTCTCCCCAGCCATGGGGAGACAACCATCTGAGGACCCAATCAAAACCATCACCTTGCCATACATAGCAGTTATTACCAAAAAGATTTCCAAAATATTAGACAAACACAAAATCCAGTTTCGTCTCAACACAGTACACAAAATCCGTGATTTGATCCCATCTGTAAAGGATGCTATTCCTGACATGCAATATCCTGATGTCTACAAATTAAGTTGTGGCTGCGGCAGTAGTTACATTGGGGAAACGAAATGTCTCGGACCATTTTCGTGAACACAAGGCAGATCTGTAGCACGGTAGGACCAATACCTCTGCCATTGCGGTTAATTATTTTAATGCTGTGGACACACACAAAATAGATTTTTCCAAGACAAAGGTACTCTGCAAACCCACTGGCTATCATCAGAGATTTGGTCATGAAGCCATCCAGATATTTTAGCAGACACAACTTCAACCGAGAAGATGGGTACAAATTGAGCAATCATTGGAAGAACGTGATTAACCAGGTAAAGTCTTAACCTGATGTGATGTTTTCATCCTTCCTGCGATTTTAGCCGACTCTGAGTTGCATTATTAGGTTGGATGTCTTTGTATTGACGGGCTGGATGTCCTTCTCGCTCAGTCACCGATGCTGCGACATACTAGGCAAGTCACCGATTCTGCGGCATACTAAGCTCGTGCATTGATATGCTAATCTCACACAATACATTAGCCACTTCCACAGCCTCAAGCAGACCATCTCTCACCCTGCCCTCTTATCCTGAGACTGCACCCATCTCAGGCCTATATAAGAGCTTGTTTCAGTAGCTTTCTCTCTCTCACCTGAAGATGGTCGCTTGGTTGCGAGTATAGAATTTTCTGTCTTCTTCTTCTTCTTCTTTCGTATGGCTGATGCAGAGGCAGAGCAACAACCAGAACGTCACATTCAGGTGGTCAAGCCAAACAACCGCAGAAGCAGTAGCGAATCATCATCGCTGTGATGATGTCTCCTTCATATTTGTGGATTGGGAGTATTGCGTCGTTATACATTGTGTATGGTCTGTTCTAAGTGACCACAGTTGCACCACTACTGGAAAAGTTTCCATTTGTGCATCAGGTAACCGCATCTGCCATGGTTTGTGCAGCGGATGCATTTTAAGGCGGACCATGAGCTTCGTGGAAGATCAAAACCCAAGGGTCTTCTGCCTTGGGTCTTTCACAACAAGGTGTGACCAAAATTAAACTCACTTTTTCCACGGTCCTCCTCGTCCAATTCCACCTTCATGAAGTTCCGGCCTGCAGTGGGCAGGAATCCATGGGAATCTTCCACCTCCTGTGGCCTCTCACTGGCTCCCTCAATCTTCACATTCTTCAGAAGTTCAGCTAGAATGAAGAAAACGCAGCATGTGTTTTCACCTGTGCTTTGAAGAAGGGCCATTGGTTGCCTAAAATGTCACCATTGATATATATACTAGTTCATAAAGCCTGTCTTCGCCTGGCAAAAGTTTATAAAAATATAAGAATTAACCTGATGTGTTTTTTTACAATTTTTATCTACGATCAGACACAAACTACTCCAAAAATTAGCACTTTTCCAGAAAAAAACTAAAATTGTTGACTTTATTCAACTTTTTATATTTAAAGACGTACCCATCGGAAACCACTCAATTTAAAGAATCCGTTCTTTTTTTATTAGCCCCAGCCTGCCAAGGTGCCACCTTGGCCGGCTGGACAATCTAGGCGAGGCCGGGGGCTCTGCACCGGACTAGGCCTCACCACGCCACTGTCAGGTGAGTACTTTGTGCTATACAGTCAATAAATACTGCTATAGAGTCAGCATGTATTACTGTAGTGATAGCAGGTACCACCACATTCGGTATGCACTGCTGTAATCATAGCAGGTACCACCACAGTCAATACACACTGCTGTTAGATTTTTAAGAGTAGTTTTGACATGTTTTTTTGACCCGGGCAACGCCAGGTATATAAGCAAGTTGCATATATTTGCAACAGTGGGCAGAGTTTTATTGATTTTTATTGGCGTGGGCCTGCTGTCCACTTAGTGGGCAGAGTCTTCTGCACGGGAGCAGAAAATGTTATCATGAAGCACACGCATCGATCGGTCGATGTTAGTATTTGTTCTAAATCGAAAGAGTAACAATCTAATTCGTCAGTTGTAATAAAACTATCAATACATTCTTTACTCCAAATATTTTTCTGTTCATTAAAAAAAAAAATTTTATTAACTGAAACGTGATTTATACCTAGATTAGTGGTTTTTGACATCGAGATCCACGGGAAATGGATATTTTTGTATTATCCATGGCCGTCCTCTCCGTCATTAGCGCAGATAATTGAGAGTCAACTGTGCATGTCGGAGACAAGAATAAGCACTGCTGATCTCACCGCCATAAATGTCTGCGCTTTTCTTCACCAAATCCGGCCAGGTCTCAAGACTCGTATTGTCTTCACGCTCTTGTTTGATGGATGCAAAGTCAATCCAAGAAGCCATCTGAGGAGCAAAAATAAAACCAACAACAATCACACGTGTAGTGATTCGATCACAGCCGAAAATACCCACCCGGCTTTATGGACACGGCGTGCATGACACGGACAGTCATGAAAATAAAAACAAGCCCCCCTGATTTGTACTTCACGGGCCTGAAAGGGGATTGGTTCGGGGCAGGGAAATTTAAGGGGATTGGAGGATAAATATAACATGGAAAAGTGTGAAACGGAGGAAGATTGACAGGAAGGACTGTTGGAATGCATTAGAGAAAGTGGAAGACGATTGGTTGGAGGCATTTCAGAAGTTTAAGGAACCTTTGGGAAAGAGGATTGAGGGATATACAAGTATAACCCGTAAAAACAAAGTTTTTCACTATAAATCCTTTATATGCGTGGCGGCTAGAGTCCTCTCGTCCTCTGGCTTGAGATGGCTGCCACCTATGGGTCAGATGATTGCATGCCACCATTAAGCAATTGGTAATTAAATATAATATTTTTGTCCTAAAAAGTGTAAAATTTTGGAAAACATTTTCACGAACATTAATTGTCACGCACAACGCGTTTGTGTGCAAAATTTCAGCTCGATTGGATCACGAGAAGTGGGTTAAAAAACGACCGAAAGATTTGCACGGTCGTAAGCGCGCAAGCAAGCAAGTTCACTTATTATAAAGGATTTAATAAAGGATTAAAAAATATATTCGCCTGTGGAGGACGCGGGGATCCATCCCGCGACCTTTGGCATGGGAAGCGAGGGCGCTACCAACTGCGCTACTCCGCCAGTGCCTGTGGAGGTGTCACGCTCTGGGCTCCTACACTGTGACGTTCAGCCAAAGCCATGAATGAGTTCTATTTGAATAAATGTAAAATAAAAATGTTTTGCCTAAAAAGTGTAAAATTTTGGAAAACATTTTTCACGAACATTAATTGTGTCGCACAACGAGTCTGTGTGGAAAATGTCAGCTCGATTGGATCACGGGAAGTGGGTTAAAAAACGACCGAAAGATTTGCACGGTCCTAAGCAAGCAAGCAAGCACGCGAACTTAATATAAAGGATTTAAAAAGGGAGAGGGGTAAATTTCCAGGCCCTCGCCAAGCAAATTTCTTGGTCCTAGCCGAGCGTGGCCCTCACCAAGCTTACATTTACAAGCACATTTCTCTCTTCTACTCGCTCCTACATTAACATTAGCTGCCCCGCCCATCTCTAAACCTTTATAAACAGCCTGCTTTTATTTAGCTCACTGTCTGTTGTTGTCGTTTTTGTGTTATCGTATCCTCAAATCTTGTAACTCAATTTTAACCCACTTTCCAATGTGGTATCGACTGCAAACTTGGCATACTTATGTCATACTGATGACAATACTATATTCTATCATAATATATATATTTTTAAACAAATCTTTTTTATATGTCATGTTATGTTTCCGCTTGGGTCTAATTATCCACGATCCCTAACGTTATGGCAAGCTTCGGGGTCACTTTATGGAGTTCTTCCATGACTATTACATTTCATAGAAGCGTGTTTAATTATTCACCTGAAGACGGTTGCTTGTGTTGCGATCTAAACGTCGTGATCTATTATTTTTCTTCCTACGTTACTTTACCGAAATAACCAAAGACTTCGGATTCCTGCAGTCACGAAAGCTTCAAATCAAGATTGATGGTGAAGATGAGAAGCCACTTTGGTCGAAATATTATGTGATGATCAAGGCCTTACACCTGGTAAACTGAATATAATTTTCGGTAAAGTCACGTAGGTAAAACATCAAAATTATTTTGATGTTTGACTTTACCGAAAAAACCTAATAATATGAATCCTTGCAGTCACGAAAGCTTCAAATCTAGAATGAATATAATTTAAAACAAATAGTAAAACCGTAGCAATAATATTTATTGTGTCCACGCTACGTATTGTAATATCTATGTAAAATAATAATACACTACAGCGCTGTGTGTACCATGCACGTTCGAGACGCGTCAACCTTCACGAAGCAATTCTAGATTTGAAGCTTTCGTGACTGCAAGGATTCATACTCTTAGTTCTTTCGGTAAAGTCACGTAGGTAAAAAATGAAATTAAAATTGTTTAATTTATTTTTATTAATTTTCATTTCATTTTTTACCTACGTGACTTTACCGAAAGAACTAAGAGTATACTTCACGAAGCAGTGGATCAGAGCATCAGAACAATTTAAATCAACACGCGCGCTTACGATTGCAATGAGAGACGAGGTACAATTTTTTTACTTAAGCGGCAGAATGACGAACACGCGTGGATTTTATCAGCCCACAAACAAATCACATCGGTCACGTAACCGTATTGGACCTACCTCGGCCTCACCCGGCGGACTCCGTCGCCCGGCGAGGCGCGCGAGATCTCCGGCAGCGAAATCAGGCAAGGCAGGCCCTGGCACGGGCCCACCGTGCCCGCCGGGAGTCGAGGGATTTGTTCCGGCAGCGAAATCAGGCAAGGCAGGCCCTGGCGCGGGCCCGGGGCGTGCCGGGATACGAGGGCTTTTGTCCGGCAGCGAAATCAGGCAAGGCAGGCCCTGGGCTTGGGCCCGGGGCCCGCCAGGACACGAGGAATGCTGTGCCTGCGTGTTTTATTTCGCACTTAAAAATATATATGAAATAAATAAATGGTTCAAATATAAAGAGGATTAACATCACACACAATGCAGCGATCACATTCAAACGCCACACACACTCGACGCTTCCTGTTGGCTCAGTGCAATGACAAAGGCCCCCCGTGTAGACCACACGGGCTGTAGGGGCAAGTGCTGTGAGCAGACACACAGACAAAGGTCCCCCGAGTAGCCCACAGACTGGTGGGGCAAGTGAAAATAAAACATGCTTCAAATCGCTTTGAACGATTGTCATTGTAGTGCGTATTTAATGTGGCGCTGCACTGATGTTGTAGGAGTGTTGTTATAACAATTAGTGTTGTTATAACAACACTCCTACAACAATTAGTGTTGTTATAACAACACTCCTACAACATCAGAGTGCAGCTACATGACTTTACCGAAAAAAACAAAGAGTATGAATCCTTGCAGCCACGCACGAAAACTTCAAATCTAGAATCAGGGCGTAGGCCAGGGCCGTTATTATCCACAGTACGCACTGTGCCGAGGGCCTACTCACTCACCCACTCACCCAGCCACCTACTCACTCACCAACCCACCCACTCATTCACCCACCCACTCATTCACCCGCCCACAAGGGCCGTATTATCCAATAGGCCACAGTAAGAACTGTGTCAAGGGCCTTCTCACTCACCCACTCACCCAGCCACCCACCCACTCACTCACCCAGCCACCCACACACTCACTCACCCAGCCACCCACACACTCACTCACCCAGCCACCCACACACTCACTCACCCAGCCACCCACACACTCACTCACCCACTCACTCACCCACCCACTCATTCACCCGCCCACAAGGGCCGTATTATCCAATAGGCCACAGTAAGAACTGTGTCAAGGGCCTTCTCACTCACCCACTCACCCAGCCACCCACCCACTCACTCACCCAGCCACCCACACTCACTCACCCAGCCACCCACCACCCAGCCACCCACCCCACCCACTCACTCACCCAGCCACCCACCCACGCACTCACCCAGCCACCCACCCAGTCACTCACCCAGCCACCCACACACTCACTCACCCAGCCACCCACTCATTCACCCACCCACTCATTCACCCACCCACTCATTCACCCGCCCACAAGGGCCGTATTATCCAATAGGCCACAGTAAGAACTGTGTCAAGGGCCTTCTCACTCACCCACTCACCCAGCCACCCACCCACTCACTCACCCAGCCACCCACACACTCACTCACCCAGCCACCCACACACTCACTCACCCAGCCACCCACACACTCACTCACCCAGCCACCCACACACTCACTCACCCACTCACTCACCCACCCACTCATTCACCCGCCCACAAGGGCCGTATTATCCAATAGGCCACAGTAAGAACTGTGTCAAGGGCCTTCTCACTCACCCACTCACCCAGCCACCCACCCACTCACTCACCCAGCCACCCACACACTCACTCACCCAGCCACCCACTCACTCACCCAGCCACCCACCCAGCCACCCACCCACTCACTCACCCAGCCACCCACCCACTCACTCACCCAGCCACCCACCCAGTCACTCACCCAGCCACCCACCCAGTCACTCACCCAGCCACCCACTCACTCATTCACCCACCCACTCACTCACCCAGCCACCCACTCATTCACCCACCCACCAGGGCCGTGTTATCCAATACGCCACATTAGGCACTGTTTCGAGAGCCTACGAAAACTAAAAGGGCCTTCAACAAAATTTGACTGCGTTATTTTCATTTGTTTGTATGTTTGTTAAAACATTTAAGTAACAAAGATATATTCTTGAATCAATATATTTATGTCGCAAGGATAGGCACAGTACAGGGTGCTTAATTTTTTTGTAACACTTCTGAGAATTTGCAGCAATACCACAAGAAATGTGCTTCCGGGCTCTGGAGACCACCTAGATACAATTCCAGGCATGTGTTGACAAAATGGCGAACAAGTAGAGACTCTGACTTTTTGAAGCTATGCGTTGACAAAATGGCGAACAAGTTGAAGCTCTTTGACTTTTTGAAGCTGTGTTGACAAAATGGCGAACAAGTGGAGACTTTGACTTTTTGAAGCTATGTGTTGACAAAATGGCGAAGTGGAGACGCTTTGACTTTTTGAAGCTATTAATGTACATTTGTTAACATGTTACAATGTATAATCCGTTATTTTGCCATTAAAAATGATAGTATCATATAAATGTTAGCATTTTTTCAAGCACCCTGTATAAATAAAGAGGAACAGTCATGTAAATAGTTTTTGTTTTCATAAGGTTGTTGTTGTTTGACTTCCATCCCACTGGGAGATTTTTGCACACAGCGTTGGTGTACGGTGTTTTTTCTGCAATATTTTGCTGTCTTTTCTTGGATTTTCTGTTTGCACTTAGTCACATATTCACTTTAAGATGTTTTCTTGTTCATGTTTTTGTTTTTAAATCCTTTATATTAAGTTCGCTTGCTTGCTTACTTACGACCGTGTAAATCTTTCGGTCGTTTTTTAACCTCCACAGCCCCTGGCTGAGTAACGCAGTTGGTAGCGCCCTCGCTTCCCATGCCAAAGGTCGCGGGATCGATCCCTGCGTCCTCCACAGGCGAATATATGTTTAAATCCTTTATTAAATCCTTTATATTAAGTTCACTTGCTTGCTTGCGCGCTTACGACCGTGCAAATCTTTCGGTCGTTTTTTAACCCACTTCCCGTGATCCAATCGAGCTGACATTTTGTTAAATCCTTTATATTAAGTTCGCTTGCTTGCTTACGACCGTGCAAATCTTTCGGTCGTTTTTTAACCCACTTCCCGTGATCCAATCGAGCTGACATTTTGTTAAATCCTTTATATTAAGTTCGCTTGCTTGCTTGCTTACGACCGTGTAAATCTTTCGGTCGTGTTTTAACCCACTTCCCGTGATCCAATCGAGCTGACATTTTGCACACAGACTCGTTGTGCGTGACAATTAATGTTCGTGAAATTTTTTTCCAAAATTTTACACTTTTTAGGACAAAAAAATTATATTTAATTACCAATTGCTTAATGGTGGCATGCAATCATCTGACCCATAGGTGGCAGCCATCTCAAGCCAGAGGACGAGAGGACTCTAGCCGCCACTCATATAAAGGATTTATATTGGAAAACTTTTTTTTTACGGGTTATACTTGTTTGTTGCGGTTGCACCCGATTCAAGAGCCGAATGGCTCACATAGCTCTACCTAATAAATGAACTTGAAGGTGACATAAATTAACACCGGAGATGATTTTTTCCAAATTGTTTTTCAAATTAAATCTAATCTGCGGCACACAGCGCGCTTCCGTCGAATTAGGGCACAGACTAAATAGTCAACGTATCAGCAGTAACAACATCTGTCCAGCGGCTGGACCAAGTACGCTTGAAACAAGCGGAGTTACGGCAGCAACTGTATGTTATCACTGAAGGCCCATAAAACAGATGTGCCTAGAGCCGACAAGAACCTTAATCTGGCCCTGTGCGGAGGCTCATCGGCCTTTTCGTTGATACCCTGGTGAGGAGTTCCTGGAGTACATGGGCTATCTTGTTATTGATCTGCGAAGCCGACTCCGTGGATCAGATGTTCAGTCCAGCCTCCCCTTCCAGATGAAGGTAGACCACCCTGCTTGTTTTTATTGGGTGCAATTGTGAACAATAGCCACATCAGACATTGGTACATTTGTAGTGTGTTATTACAGAGGCGCACACACTGTTGTTTGAGGCAACGCGTTTAATAAACAACCTCACTCATCATCTTCTTGGTTCTTTCGGTAAAGTCACGTAGAAAGGAAGTAATAAAATAATAAAAATAAAACATAATAAAATAAAATAATTCTCACGACGTTTCGGCTACAACGCAAGCAGCCGTCTTCAGGTGAAGAACGTCGTGAGAATTATTTTATTTTATTATGTTTTATTTTTATTATTTTATTACTTCCTTTCTACGTGACTTTACCGAAAGAACCAAGAAGATAATAAAAGTTCTCACGACGTTTCGGCCACAACGTAAGAAGCCGTCCTCAGGTGGAGTCATTCAGACTCTGTTGTGGCCGAAACGTCGTGAGAACTATTTTATGTTTTATTTTTTATTATTTTATTATTTCCCTTCTACGTGACTTTACCGAAAGAACCAAGAAGATGAATCCCTGCAGTCACGAAAGCTTTAAATCGAAATTTAACCTCACTCATCACTGAGTTCTACAGTTAAGTGTGGCTATACTGTTCCTAGACTGTTCGCTTATGTGTGTGTGTGTGAGTTAGCTGAACGAACGGGCCAGCCAGCACATACTGCTGCCTGACCCACGATCCCCAGCTAAGACTCTACGGCAAACGAGGAGCGAAGACCCCTTGAGTTGATCCCCACAAACGAGCCCCGAATCCCCGAACGTGCTCCCCCCTTGCTGCATCAAGGACGGGCGCCTTCGCTTCCGGTCACGTGTCCTTAACTCCTCCTGTAATCGAGGGCCACTTCCGGTCACGTGCTCTTAGCTCGTCTAATCGGGGTACCGGACGCACCAGCAATGGCTGACGTGACCCACAGAGACATCTGTGTCTCTAAAGCCTATTTGGTTCTTTCGATAAAGTCAGGTGGAAAGAAAATAAATTAAATAGAATACTTTTCGATTTAAAGCTTTCGTGACTGCAGGGATTCATCTTCTTGGTTCTTTCGGTAAAGTCACGTAGAAGGGAAGTAATAAAATAATAAAACATAATAAAATAATTCTCACGACGTTTCGGCCACAACACAAGCAGCCGTCCTCAGGTGAAGAATCTCTTCTTCACCTGAGGACGGCTGCTTGCGTTGTGTTATTTTATTACTTCCCTTCTACGTGACTTTACCGAAAGAACCAAGAAGATAAATAGAATACGTTTCGATTGCAACACAAGCAACCGTCATCAGGTAGAACTACATTTGAGAGAGAAGACACGGAGACACACAGACACAAGTAGAGAGAGACAACACAGAGACAGAGAGAGACACACAACAAAGACACACGGAGAGACACAACACAGAGACACAGACAGACACAAGTAGAGAGAGACAACAGAGACACACAACAGAGACACAGAGAGACACAACACAGACACACAAGCAGAGAGAGACAACACAGAGACACACAACATAGACACAGAGACACACAACACAGACAGACACAAGCAGAGAGAGACAACACAGAGACACAGACACACAAGCAGAGACAACACAGAGACACAACATAGACACAGAGAGAGACACTGACAAGCATCGTCGTGGAAATCTTTTATTACATAACAATCAGGAAGGGACAACTTCTGTCATGCCCAGCGTGCATGTTATTTCATCTCCACATTTAAAGTATAATGCTCTCGGCTTTATCCGGGACCACCAGCTCTAATGAGTTGAATGTGCGGACGTATTATCTTTTAGACCACAAACTCCAGAGTTGACCACACCAACTGATGGAATGGTCACATTTTAATTCCTATCCATCCGTTATTTGAATGGTCCGATTTGTATATATGTATTTGAATTGATGCATTATTTTAAAATCTAAAAATCACACGATAATATATATCTGCAAACATAACTTAGCATTTGTGTAGTGTGAATTGCAGAATTTCAAATAAAGATAATACAAAACCTCGTTAAAAAATATATAGATTTCCGTCACTGGGTGGGGGATGGTAGCCTTCACGCGGTGCACATGTTAAGATGCTCATCGCATAACTAATACTATCACATTGGCCTTGTATATCGTTTATGAAATTTCAAATACCGACCTACGAACGTCCGCACTTACGAACAAACCGATATGGATTTGTTTTAACTGTCCGATTTGCGAACATCGGTCGTACCTGCAAACCGAACCTCGGAACTATTTTGTTCGGTGGAGCGAAACTTCACGAGATGTAATGATTCCCAGCGTCCTTATGGGAATGTGTTTGTGTGCGCGCCCTCGCGCGTGTGTAGTGAGTGTTATCGTAATGTGTGTTGCCCAAGCAGCTTCTGTTTGACCGGATCGATGGACTGATGTGCTACAGAACGATGTGGAGCTGATTGGACTTGCTGATGACTGTTCGCAGCACTGTGAAGATCAGCATCTGTGGAGGTTCGTAAAGGACGCTGCTGGGGAGTTGGAGGCAGTCGCCCTCCAGCAACAACAGAGGACAAGAGGGAAGATGCTCACAAGCTCTGCTCGTTGTTGAGCACGGTGGGTGAATCTGTCGGCCATCTCAGTCAGCTCATGGCACTTTGGTCTGTTCCCGTGACCTGCCAGCAGGCCTTCGACACTTCACGTGGCCTCAAAGTGCACAGGCGCCGTGGTGACATCACCACCACTTAATGGCAGACGGCGGTACCGTTGTGTGAACAGCAGCGTGTAGAGCATAGTGTTTGGGTTACTGTATTACATATATTGCGGTGTAGGCCTTGATACTTGGTGGTATAGGCTGTGTGTGTGTGGGCCGTCGTTGCGAGTGGGGGTGTGTGTGTAGTTAGTGTGTGCGAGGGGCTGGTAGCCCCTCCACCTGGCACTTCTATCAAGCACCATGGTGGAAACACCAAAGTAAGCTCGTGCTGGAGGCCCCAGGGGAAAGGTCTTCATGGCGTCTTCTGCCCAAATCCCATTTGGCGGAGCAAGACTGAACCTGGCCACGTGCAATGTTTGACCTCTTGCTGCGGAGGAGAGGCTACCGTTCCTCTGTCGGGAGATGGACCGGTACCGCCTGGACCTCTGTGGAATATAGGTCCAGTAGACTGGTTCTGGCTCCAGTAAAACGAGGTCCGGGCTCAAGAAGAGAGGCCAGCCGGCTCTCCATGATGTGTCCCCCTCCGTATCTTCCACTGCTACGCATGCCTGGAACTCCCCTCCCGTGAAGTCCGTAAAAAAAAACCTGAAACGTGCTTGTGATCAGCTGTTTTTTTGTTCCGCATTTTCACAGTAACCATCGTCTTCATTTTCAAACCTCAATTCAAAACAACCTACATGTCGCATTCACGGATGTAGAGATGCGTTCATCCAGCAAGACTGATTTATAACAAAAAATGCATTATATTTAAACACAAGATGAGTAATTCGCATAAGAGAAAAAAGAAACCAACAATAATAACCGTATATCAAAATATTAATGTAGAAAATAACTCACTCATACAAATATTGTAGTTAGAGATAGCCTCGTGGCTTAAAGGATAAGAGCGATGCTTACATTTTGGATTTGAATCCCTCCAGCTACTTATGATTGAGCCATGGTCTCAAGTGTAGTGATTTGATGATGGTTTTCGTCTGGTGACTGATGATTGTGTGAAAATGCATCAAGCCTGAAGCATTTTATTTTCTCAACTCGTGATGGTTTTTGACTGTCACGTGATACAACATATTGGTCTATTGGCAAGGTAGCTGGGAAAATGCTGCCCCTAGTGAGATAAAAGTGAAGGGATCTCAGTGGTTCCATGATGCTCTCTTCTGCAGATTGTTCTCCAACGTGAATCATCACCAATCTGCCAGTTCCGAATGGAGCTTTCAAGTCTGTGACGTGCCCTTGCACAGATTCAGAAGCTTCTCAACAGAGTTTGTGCCTGGATATGAGCAAATAGGTAACATATATCTTGTAATGATGTTTACAGAACCTCAATAATAATGCTCATCTTGAGATAAGCGAGGGCTGAGACTGGGAGCCAATGTAACTTGTGGAAGAGCATTGCGATAAACTTCACATCTGAAAACAATCTGACTGCATTCTGGAGAAGAAGCTGAGACTTGCACGCAGGTCAACAAATGAATCAATTGACAAACAGTCAAGTTGGAAATAAATTAAGTGACGAACCAATAAGTGAAGTTCATCAAAATTCAAGGTGGGTTGCAAACAAGTGACAGGCATACAGGAGCTTTCTGGGCAAGCCACGTCGCCAATATCTCACGTTAAAGCACAACCGTATTGAATTATATGAGGAAACAAGCTTTTCTAGATATAAAGACGAAACATAATTACAACACGGTATGATATATCCATTCCAGTGGTGCTATAGGGTGACCAGCGTTTTTAATACAAAAACGTATTTTTAAACCAAAATAAGCTTTCTGCAACAAACATTGGAACCACCAAAGTTTACACATTACAACGTCATCACCACGGCGTATTCATGAATGGAAACTTGGAAACAGTTAATGTCCCCAATGATAACACGAAACCAAACAAAAAATCACCACACTTATCGTTTTCTCCATTTTCCCACGAAGTTAACATTGTGTGTGGGTTGTTTGTTGTTAAGCAGCCCATCTATGAGGATGCAATTGTGTGTGTTTTTTTTAACAGCTAAAACACCACAGTCAATATAATTCAACGCAAGCCATGTCTCGATTGATGAGCGGGAGATACGTTCCAGGAAAATTGTTTGGTAACAGAAATCTCGGTTGAAACGACCGTCATTTTCTCATCGACTCTTCCCGCGTTAAAAGCAGAGATGTATGTTCTGGCCTCCAAAAATACTCCACACTCTTGAACAACTATTTTTTTTAACGCGAGAAATACACTTAAACGTCATAACAAGGTAGTATAACATCAGCATAACACAATGCATTAAGAACCACAGCTCTTGCAAGGGACCTGGAATTTTTTTTTATTTTAAGGGTAGATGTTCCTATCTTGTTTTAATTTACATAGCGCCTTAACCAAGGCACTTAACAAAGAATTAGCAATTTGTACAGCAGAATAGTAATGCTATGAGATGGGATGGGTTGATGAGAAGGATGTTAGTGGGTGGCAGGAGAGGCAGGATCGTCAGCCTCTTCCTCCGAAGATTCTTCTGACGAATCTTATCGTTTGGACAATGGCATTCCACTAGGGGATGGTGTTAGGTTACAGTTAGAGTTGATCTTACGGAGGTCGAAGTGGTGAAAAACCTATTAATCTTCGACTCTGAAGCTTGCCTCTGTTTCTCAAGATACAGCTGGGTGTAACATGACATCGCCTCGCGTATCACGCGATTCACTTTACTGCTTTCTTGTTTCGGATCGTTCCGGGCATAGATGACGAGTCCTTCAATTCTTATGTTAGCTTTGGCCAACTTTCGTAGGATAAACGTTGGGGTGGGTGTTTGTGTAGCTTGAGCGCCATCATCCTTCTCGACTGAAACTAATCCTTTCCTCAGCTGAATAAATTCCTCATTTGTTTTTTCTTCACCATGAGACTCCAACACTTCCACCACATCAGCCTGCTCCACTTCGTGAAATCCAGCATCCCTGGCAAGTTCGACGATCCTATGGATATCATTAACTGGCTCCTGAAGACCGGTTAGATCACGCTTGCATTTTTTACAGTTTTCCCCAGCATGCATTCAATGTTGTCTGTGCCACTTCATTCCACGCCTCATTGATGTTGTCAATGGCGTCCATGATGTAAGAGCGCCAGAACTCTCGTATTGTTTGCACATCCTTATGCGTGATTGCGAAGATCTGCTACATCGTTCGACACATGTACCACAACCAGTTGACGTGGCCAGGCCCAGAGATTTGCTGATGCCGCGGACCGATTCTCCACCTTCGTATTGCCTTATGTATTTCTTCATCTCGAGTGTAATGGCCTTTCTCTTCGCTTTTCGAGCGCCAATGCTACTTTGTCGACTTGCTGGCCTCTTGAAATTCATGGTGGATGGGTTGGAGCGATAAGCAGCGAAGAAATTGCAAAGAAAAGTTTTTTTTTTACTGGACAAAGCACATGGGGCACACTGCACAGCACAACTGGTAAACAAAACAGCTGCGGGCCGCCGATTGGACAGCATTATCGGTCGGTCTCCGCTCGTCAATCGAACATTTTGCTCGTTTTGGGAAGAAAAGAATGGGTTTAAAATTTACTTTGCTTGTGATAGCGAATTATCGTAGAATGAACACACGTTAAACGAGACAAGCCTTTAGTTTACAATGTAGTGCACCAAGTTGATTTTTTTCGTCCAAAACACGCATGGTGTTAACATCACAATATATATTTTTTAATGGTCTCCACAAACGTACAAAGTGAATAAATATGCCAGGAATTGCGCACGCCTCCTGTAATGTGACCATAATGCTATTCGTCCGTCGAAGGAGCGCCGCATACTCCAGTGGTTTACCACGATCCATGGAACACGAGCAAACCACTGTAGTCCACTCTTCAACGGAGGAGGAATAGAAAAAACTGCACACGCACACACTCTCTCCTGAAGTTCTCTCATCATGGACTAACAGACCTCAAAATGGGCATTATAGTTCCTGAACATATTGCCATATGCATGCTGAGAATTGAACAGCCATCATTGCCACTGATGTGCTCATTTTGTTACGCACGCATTATCAAGAAATGTATCAATTTATATCATTTGCATGTTTTTTCTTACGTACCATGGTATTACCATTGTGCATTATGTGAATAACTAGTGTAATAGCCCGTCATATGACAGATTCATGAAATTACATTTCATGAAAAAGACAAAAATTTCATTTCAAGGAAAAGTTTTCCTTGAGATAAATTTTGTTGAATCAGCACTGTGACATTGGTTGAATTTTTGCATCTTTACAAAGCAACAACATAAAGTTGTCCATGGGAAAAAAACAGGTTCGTTGAGGTAAAGTTTGTCCTTGTGACTTATTGAGAGTGATAGCAAATGCAGGGATGATGGGAAGCCGTCTTCGCTTCAAAATAACTGGTAAATTCACATCAGACGTGCCAATACAATTGCTGGGAATGAACACAACATTCCCACGATTGGATTCTGAAATGATTTCAGCCACAACAAAACTACGGTGCATTTCACGAATCACCAGACATGTGCCATTCGTTATGGTCACGTCGTAAACAATCCAGTGTTTCTTGACTTTGTCGATTACGCCATCTCTGCTATCTTTATTTGTTTAATCGACTACATTGATTGTCAATTCATCTAAACTTTTGGCTTCATCAAGGATAGCTTGACTCTGCCTTTTGCGAGCTTCACGACGTGCTTCTGCAGCAGTCGCTCGTCTTGCTTGTGACATTTCAGCAGTTTGCAGAGCTCGTCGCTGGGACATTCTTTCAGTGTTTTCACGTCGTAAACGATCCAATGTCTCTTGACTTTGTCGATTACGCCATCTTTGCTTTCTTTCTCTGTTTAATCGACGTCTTCTTTCGTCTGCAGACTCTTCTGGATTCATCCAAATGAAATCTGTGATGGAATGAACGTAGTTTGACACGAAGGCTTTTGTGACCAATATTATTCAGAATGAAAGTTTTTAGGTTAGATCGCATAAGTATAAATGTGGCGTAAGTATAAATGCGGCGTGATTATAAATGTGTCGTAACCCGCCGCCACCACCTGACACAGCCAACCAGTAAAGTTTGCCACTTAAAAAAACCTGCCAATTAGTTGCTACTTCAGCCCACCAGTGTGTTCGGAGAGTAAATCCACAACATTGTGTTTTTTTAGCCTTACGCTAAGATTTTGTACCGTCTGTGCAACGTAGCATTTACCACATGAGCAATTAATTCGGTACACACCTTATCTTGAGTACAGGATACTTTTATTTGTACCGTGCCAAATCTCACTGACTTTTGGGGTTTTTCCTAAACTCTAGCTAGTTTGTCAGTTACTCCCGCAATGTATAGTATTTTCATTATTTTAATATCATGATCGGTTTCAGAATTACTTTTTGATCTGGGTTTGGCATTCAATGCTGTTAATTTGAGCATTATTGTAATCATTTAATCGTAGAGCTTCTTTAACATGTTTAATCTTGCTCCTCAGACTTTCACTATCTGACACTGTTTTAGCCTGATGTAAAAGTGTCTTGATGAGAAAGGATTTCTGTGCAGGGTGATGATGTGAATCTGCATTCAGATAGGCGTCAGTGTGCATTTCCTTTCGGTAAAAGCTCCATGTTATTTTATCGTGTGGGCCATGTACGAGCAAAAGATCCAGGAATGGGACGGTGTTATCCACTTCCATGGTGAATTGGATGGCCGGGCTTTGCGAATTGAGTTTATTTAGAAATTCCTTAAGTGTATTTTTACAATGTGAGAGTGAATAAGAAATATATATAAACACTGGTTCTCCACTTATATTTGTGCAAATGTGCAATTGTTGTAGGGATTATTTAATTATCCAAAGTATCGACTTACTGGATTCTGTATTGATGTGAAGACAATTTTTGCTACCATTTTCAAACTGAAAGGACAGGATTGGTGTTCACTCATTTTCGCAAAAAATGTGAGAAGGCCGCTTTTACCAGAAGTTCGCTAAGTTACAACTTACTTAAGTCTTAATTGGTTTGAATTTTAAACAAGTTACTATTTATTGATTGGCAGGGGAGAGGTTGGCGTTCACTCATTTTCACTACAAGTGCGAGTCAAAGTCATCAAAGTGAAACCGCACTGAGTTCAAATTAAACACGATTCTTGCTTTATTTCAATTTCTATTCTATCTCTAAAAAAACTACAGGCAGTCCCCAGGTTACGGAAGATCCGACGCTTATGGAAATCCGAATTTAGGGAAATGGTCCCCATGAATCACGTAAAAAAGAAATCAATATGCGGAAATGTTTGCTTTAGTTACGTAAGCGCAAATAGTGCAGGGTGGTGAGTTTGCAGATGAATACTGCAAAGCGAGCCGTAAGGAAGCCCCGCCTTATGCCTCGCTTCACAAAAACACCACCTTCACCGAGCTTAACACGTAGGCTTCCGCAACCAATATTCATAATAAAGGATTTTGGGATAGATCACGTTATTTATAACTGTGTCGCAACCCTCTACCACCCGACATGGCCAATCAGTAAATAATGCGTCACGTTGACAAAAGACAAATAGTTCACTACTTTAGCCCAATGGTGTGTTGGAGAGTGAATCCACAACATTTAAACATTTTGAGGACGATTGGGTTAAATGATGATGTTACCCTGCTGCTCGATTTAAGTCCGGGAGCAGGTGTAGGTCTTCACTCTTTTGGCAAATTGCCCGATAATGATGGATGTAATTACCAGCGAAACGTCTTACTCAAAAACTGTAAATGTTGTGAATTCACTCAACACACTGGTGGGCTAAAGTAGTGAACTATTTGTCTTTTGTCAACGTGACACATTTTTTACTGATTGGCCGTGTTGGGTGGTGGAGGGTTGTGACACATTTATAAATAACGCGATCTAACCCAAAAACCTTTTGTTATTTTTTGTACCATTACGTAATTATTTTCCTCTTGTAGAATTACGTAATTGTTTGTTTCTATGCTTAGAACTATCTTTTCCCCATTTTTACGTTGCAAGTTTTCTTCATTTTAAGTTTATGTCATGAGTTATTTCCTGTAAAAACTGTATGTAGACGAGCCGACTCCATGTTTGTCTTTGTGTGCGTGTATGTGAAGTCTCGACCTAGTCTAATGCACGGTAAATGAACATTCCAAAGTGACTTTCTGTTAACAATTAATGCAAAAATGTTTAGTTGCATTTACAAACAATTGGATACAGTATATGTTTCATTTGTTTAATGAGTAGTGTTAGGGTAGATATTCGATTAAATGAAAGAAGCATAGCATATGTACAGCAATATGATACAGGAGCAATAGAAAACGGGAGAAAATTGTTCAGTTTCTAACATATGGAAAATTCAGGTTATGGATCATTCTCGGGAACCTAACCCGTCCGTAACCTGGGGACTGCCTGTAATGTCACACAAATTAAATGAATAGATTATTTATTATTCTGTAATGGTGTGCATAACGAACACATAAAATAGAAAAACAGAGGGCGCACTTGGCTTTCACCAAAAGCAGCGCTGGCATATTTTGGAGAAAATGTATTATTCTTGTACCATATCCCATGTGTTTACCTCTTTCTTTGTGACACAAATAATGTTTTTAACTTGAAACCCATCTGTTTTAAGCATCATGAACATACGATCATGTATAGATTATATAACGTTTTTGTTGTAATGTTTTGCATAGACCTAACTTCAGTGTATTAACATTATTTGTATTCACTTTTAGTTACTTTTTGTATGATTATTGGATTATCCAACAACTTCTGTTGCATGAAAAGGGGCAAAGATAATATCAAGGAACCACGTGGCAGAATAAGAGCCAGAGTGAGCAAAGCAAATTCAAAGAAAGCTTTGCTTTAAAAAAAGAGTTTTTTAGTTGGGATTTAAATATATTAACACTCTCCGAGAGCCTGATCTCCAATAGCCGGAAGTTTCAGAAATTGGAGGCCACCAAAGTAAACACCCGATCACCCCAAGGTCACAACTGAGATCGTGATTACCGGTCATGATAGACAGATGCTTCCTTCTTGACACCTTTAAAATCCTATATCTGTGTCAATAGCTGAATTGCTGCTATCGCCAAGAACATCGTGCAGTATATGTACGATTTTTTTAAGTTCTTAATTTCCTGACTTTTGTTGAGTTCAGAAATAAATCATCCTCCTGGACTTCTCAAACTCCCAAAGGGACAACCTTGGAACCCATTTACTGGTCTAAAATGACTCACTGCCCACTCCCACTACCTGAAACACCAAATATCAGTGCCGACGCCACTGTGGCCTGCCTCCAAGCCATCTCAAAGGTCCCGACTGCTGCCGAAAACCACAACGTAGAGTGAGAAAGCTGCTCAAGCCCTCTCTGAAAAGAAACTGCCGCGCTCAACACCTTTACAGCAGCCTCCTCAGAGGGAATCGGCTACTCTGACCAGGTACTTGCACTTGCCACCAACATTAAGAGGCTTCCAGAAGCAGCTGAAGACTGAAGCTGCCTTCACAAGACTGGATATCAGCACGTGGCCAATGTTTTGCGCCAAGGTCCGCTGCTGAAACTTTCATAAACCGTCTGATACCACAAGACTCTCAAGACTGATAAACACCTTAATGATCAAGAAAGTAAATACACATGCAAAACAAAGCATCAAATTTAGCAAGCCAGTTGGCACGAGGCCTGGCTAAACAACGTGCTCTGAGTGGCGCTTGGGTCGGATGTCCACCCATTATGAATAGACCCACAGAAAGTCTTAAGATATGTAAGCTCTGCCTTGTCTTGGTTGGTACCCAGATGACGAATGAAGATGCCCTTGGGGCATCGGAAGTTGCTTTTCCTATTATCTACAAAACGTCGTGTGAGATGGTCCTCTGAGAGAATCAATCCCTGCTATAACTCTGCATTGAGGAAGGAAAGTGGTGCAGATTACAATGGACTTATGCATATAAGTAGTCTATTTGAATTAAACTGCTCCTCCAAATGATTATAGCAGCAGTGATGATTAACCTCTCCGTGACCTTTCAGTAAAAGGAACCCATGCTCGTGAAGCATTCCACCATTAGTTCCGGTGAGGAGGCTGCACCGTGTTTCAGATTCCTCGGATGAAGTAACCCGCAATAGTATCCACTCAAGGTGAGGAAAAATAATTCCAGACCATGTGAGTACAGGCAGGAGACAAAATTGCCATGCCCAAATTTGAGCTAACAGGGGTGGAAATTCAAGGCACCAAAATAAAACCATTTGTTCCATACCATGCGACTGGAGGCAGTGTGAGTTTTGAAGATGGAGTGTAATGGCCTTCCTCTTCGCTTTTGGAGCACCACTGCTACTCGGTCGACTTGCTGGCCTCTTGGAATTCATGGTGGAGGGATGGAGCGATAAGCAGTGAAGGAAATGCAAACAAAAGTTTTTCTTTTCACTGGACAAAGCACATGGGGCACATTGCACAGCACAGCTGGCAAACGAAATGGCACAGCTGGTAAACAAAACAGCTGCGGGTCGCCGCTGCACGGCATTATCGGTCGGTCTCCGTTCGCCAATCGAACATTTTGCTCGTTTTGGGAAGAAAGAAAATGGGTCTAAAATTACCTTTGCTTGTGATAGTGAATTCTCGTAGAAATGAACACCCATTACACGAGACAAGCCTTAAGTTTACAATTTAGTGCACCAAAGTTGATTTTTTTCGTGCAAAATACGCATGGTGTTAACACTGCAATATTTTTTTTTGTTAACGGTCTCCACAAATGTACAAATTTAATAAATACGCCAGGAATTGCGCGTGCCTCCTCTGACGCGACAATAATGCTATTCGTTCGTCAAAGGAGCGCCGCAGACTCCAGTGCCACGAACTATGGAGCACGAGCAAACCACTGTAGTCTCCACTCTTCAACGGAGGAGGAATAGCAAAAACTACACACGCACACTCTCTCCGGAAGTCCTCTCATCATGGACTAACAGACCTCAACATTGGCATTATAGCTCCTGAACATATTGGCATTTGCACGGAGAGAATTGAACAGCCATCATTTCCACTGACGTGCTCATTTTATTATGCACGCATTATCAATAAATATACCACTTGATATCATTTGCATGTATTTTCTTACGTATCATGGTATTACCATTGTGCATTATGCGAATAACTAGTGTAATTGCCCGTCATATGTAGGTTCATGAAATTACATTTAATGAAAAACATTTAAATTGCATCTCAAGGAAAAGTTTTCCTTGAGATACATTTTGTTGAATGGGAACTTTGACGTTGGTTGGATTTTTGCATCTTGACAAAGCAACAACATAAAGTTGTCCATGGGAAAAAAAACAGGTTCGTTGAGATAAAGTTTGTTCTTGTGACTTATTGAGAGTGATAGCAAATGCAGGGATGATGGGAAGCCGTCTTCGCTTCAAAATAACTGGTAAATTCACATCAGACGGTGCCAGATCAATTGCTGGGAATTAAAACAACATTCCCACGATAGGATTCTGAAATGATTTCAGCCACAACAAAACTACGGTGTATTTCACGAATCACCAGACGTGTGCCATTCGGTATGTTCACGTCGTAAACAATCCAGTGTTTCTTGACTTTGTCGATTACGCCATCTCTGCTATCTTTCTCTGTTTAATCGACTACATTGATTGTCAATTCATCTAAACTTTTGGCTTCATCAAGGATAGCTTGACTCTGCCTTTCGCTTGTCATGTGATATTTCAGCAGTTTCAGAGCTCGTTGCTGGGACATTCTTTCAGCCTTTTCACGTCGTAAACGATCCAATTTCTCTTGACTTTGTCGATCACGCCATCTCTGCTGTCTTTCTCTGTTTAATCGACGTCTTCTTTCGTCTGCAGACTCTTCTGGATTCATCCAAATGAAATCTGTGATGGAATGAACGTAGTTTGACACGTAGGCTTTTGTGACCATTATTATAAAAGTGGCGTAAGTATAAATGTGTCGTAACCCGCCGCCACCACCCGACACAGCCAACCAGTAAGGTTTGTTACGTAAACAAAACGTGCCAATTAGTATACTACTTCAGCCCATCAGTGTTTTGGAAAGTAAATCCACAACATTTACAATTAGAGTACGAGTTTTCGCTGGTAATTACATCCAGCATCATTCGTCGATTTGCCAGAAAAGTGAAGCTATCTACCTGCTTCTGGTCTTAAACAGAGTAGGATGACGTCATTACCGTGCGTCAAACAGGTGCGGAGAGCAGGGGGGGGGGGTTATTGTAATTACATAACAAGTTTGTTAATCACCGTTAATTAGAATGCGATGCCTTTACAAGGCATACAATTGTAAGGTGTTTTACTTAATAATACGCTTCCAGTCCGCAATAAGCCTGTAGCTGTCAGAGCGGTTAAAGTTATTTGTATTTCTCTCAATTTCAATAGATTCCCGAATTAGTCTCGGGCCAGGAATAATTAGTTTTACACAATACTTCTACGTTATCAAAATAAATTAAATTTCATCGTTGGCAAGCACGTTCTGCAACTGCTGACTGTTGTGTTTCTGAGTATTTAATATTTAGTGTTCTTTTAGTCTGACGCTAAGGTTTCGTATCGTCTGTGCAATGTAGCATCTGTGCAACGTAGCATATACCACATGAGCAATTAATCCGGTACACACCTCTTTAGTACAAGATACTATTTTTATTGTGTACCGTGCCAAATCTCACAGATTTTTTGGGTTTTTCCAAGACTCTAGCTAGTTTGTCAGTTACTCCCGCAATGTATGGTATTTTCATTGTTTTAATATCATGATCGCTTTCAGTATTATTGCTGTTCGAACTGGGTTTGGTATTCAATGCTGTTAATTTGAGCATTATTGTAATAATTTAATTGTAGAGCTTCTTTAACATGTTTAATCTTGCTCCTCAGACTTTCACCATCTGACACTGTTTTAGCCTGACTTATAAGCATCTTGATGAGAGAGGATTTCTGTGTGGGGTGATGATGTGAATCTGCATTCAGACAGGTGTCAGTGTGCGTTTGCTTTCGGTAAACGCTCCGCGTTATTTTACCGTTTGGGCCGTGTCCGAGCAAAAGATCCGGAAAGGAGATAGTGTTATCCACTTCCATGGTGAATTGGATGGCCGGGCTTTGTGAATTGAGTTTATTTAGAAATTCCTTAAGTGTATTTTTACCATGTGAGAGTGAATGAAAAATATATAAACACTGGTTCTCCACTTATATTTGTGCAAATGTGCAATTGTTGTAGGGATGAATTAATTATCCTAAGTATCGACTTACTGAATTCTGTATTGATGTAAATACAATTTTTCAAACCATTTTTAAACCCGAAGGACAGGGTCGGTGTTCACAAATTTTCGCAGAAAATGTGAGCAGGTTGCTTTTACCAGAAGGTCGCGAAGTTACAACTTACTTAAGTCTTAATTGACATGAATTTTAAACAAGTTACTATTTATTGATTGGAAGGGTAGAGGTTGGTGTTCACCAATTTTCACTATAATTGGGAAGAAAAGTCATCAAAGTGAAACCGCACTGAGTTAAAATTAAACGCGATTCTGCTTTTTTATTTCAATTTCTATTCTATCTAAATAAAAAACTACGGGCAGTCCCCAGGTTACGGAAGACCCGACACTTATGTAAATCCGAATTTAGGGAAATCCGAATTTAGGGAAATGTTCCCCATGAATCATGTAAAAAAAAGTCAATATACGGAAATGTCTGCTTTAGTTACGTATGCGCAAATAGTGCAACGCGGTAAGGTTGCGGATGAATACCGCGAAGCGTAAGGGAGCCCCGCCTTTCGCCTCGCTTCACAAAAACGCCGCTTTCACCGAGCTTCACTATTACGTAATTATTTTCCTGATGTAGAATTACGTAATTGTTTGTTTTCGATGCTTAGAACTATCTTTTCGCCATTTTTCTGTTGCTAGTTTTCTTAATTTTAAGTTTGTCATGAGTTATTTACTGTCCGTACTGTGTGTGTGTAGACAAGCCGACTCCATCTTTGCCTTTGTGTGCATGTGTTGAGGAGTAGAGTGATGACGTGATGTCACACTCGCCTCGGGGGTAGTGACGTCAGAGGAAGTGACATGAGGGGAGCTTCGGGGAAGGTGACGTCATGTCCCCCCGGGGTATTTGAGGGGGGACCGGTGACGTAGACGGGGCCTTCGCTCAGAGCCGGGAAGGTGAGCGGTGGGGAAGTAGGAACCCAGGGTAAGGAGGAAATAGCACCAGGCTAGGGGGCTACTTCACCCGGCTGGCCGAGTTGGCTGAACCATTGGTCAGCACTGTGTGGTGAAGAGCCCGTTAGCCTGGGAGGCGTAGGGAATTCCCAGTACCTTTTCCCCTGGGGAGATTTAGCTTAGCCGGCAACTTGTGTTAGCCCTTTCCAAAGCTAGGCGAAAGCCCATAATAAACCGTTGGCGATAGCCCCTACAAGTCTGCCTTCGTGTCGTTCTACACACCTCAACAACCGGTGTCGGAAGTGACTTCTGTGCTCGCGACCATGTCGAAGTCCGGTGCGAGACGGAAGACCGCGCCTGGTGTACAGACGAACGAAGAGGACGATGCTGCCGCATGCCTGTCAGAGATCCCGGAGATCGGGGCCCCGGAAATGTGCCCCGTGGAGGTGGCCCGGCTAGAGCCGGAGGAGGCGGCAGCTGGGAGAGCTGCGGCGCCGCCATCCGACGTGTGGCGCGACGTAGCTGCCCAGCTGGAGCTGCTCCAGCGGTCGGTGACGCAGCTCGCCGTCGCGCTGAGGTGGGCGTGCGCACACACGCGGCGGGCAATGGGGTGCGCGACCGTCGAGATTTGGCCGACGCCGCGCCTCCCGCCAAATTGGCGCCATTTCTCCAACCGCTGCGCCGAGGCAGGGGGCCGCCATTTTTTCTGCGCCACCGCCGGCAGGCGCCATTATCCCTGCGTCGCTGTAGTTGGGCGCCATTGTTTACGCAACGCCACAAGTAAGTCAACGCCATGACATTTGTCATGGCGGCGCCCATGCGCGCCGCCGCTCCACACCGCACATCGCCGCCGATGTCGCCGCGGGCTCGCTGCGAGCCGGGGTGGCGCAGGATGTTGCAGCCATGGACGCGGATCGGGGAGCGGTGTCCCTGTGGCCGGGGCCACAGGGACACACAGGCGTGGCGGCTGCGGTCGTGCTGACGCCGGCGGCCGCCGCTGTGGGTGAGTCCAGGCCAGGGGATGGGTCGGCTCACTTGCGGCTGCGCCGGCTGTCCCCCGTCGGCTCGTTCGTTGTGAAGGGGGGGGACTGGCTGTTTTTCCAGGCCCGATTTGATGCGGCCTATCAGTCAGTGCGCTGGCCGGAGGAGGAGGAGGCGCTGTGCACGCTGCCCACATGCTTGGACGCTAAGGCTTTGCAAGCCTTTTTGAGCATCCCACCGGCGGACAAGTCGACGATGCAATCGGCCTATCATCAGATGGCCGAGGTATTCGAGCCGCCATCCGCGGCGTGCCTTAAGTTTACTGCACGCCGGCGGGAGGAGGGGGAATCGCCTCTCGCGTTCTGCTGCTCCCTCCTTGCATTAGCTCGGGCCGCGTATCCCGTCGTGGAAGGGGGTGCGCTGGACTCCCTGGCCCTGGAGAGGCTACTGGTCCTCGCGGGGGAGTTGGGCATCGCGCTGTCCATCGCTGCAGAATGCAAAATAACTTCACTGGCCATCGTGCAGAATATTCAAGCTACTCTTGCGCTGCGGCGGCCTCCGGCGATGGTGGCATGCGCAGGTGCTCCAATGCCGGCAGAGGTGGCGGCGCCCCGGGAGGAGGACTACGACCGCCGCGGGGACGGTAGGTCTGTTCGCCGGCCAGGGGGGTCGGGGCGAGCGGGTCCTCCCCGTTCGCAGGTCCGGGGGTGGGTCCACTGTTTTCGTTGTGGCCAGCTGGGCCACTTTGAGAGGGGGTGCAACAACGCCCCCAGGGCCTTCGCCAAGGCCTCTCCTCCTGCAGGCGTCTCTCCAGCGGTGGGACCTCCCGGGCAGCAGGCAAGTCGCGATGCATCCATCGCACGGCCGCTCCCTTCACCTCAGGCATCTCGCAGGGTTAGGGTCCATCTTCACGGGCCCATCTCTGGGGGGTCTGACTTGGGGCCCACGCGAGTGCGGTCGTCGGTTGGGTGGCCCAGGCAGACTCGCCAGTGGCGGGCCCTCACGCATCGCGTGGTGGCCGCTGCTGCCGGGTCCTCGGCAGTGGTGTGGCGCGTGCAGGGGGTCGAGATAAGGATCCTGGTGGAGACGGGGGCTTCCGCCACCATGGTATCCGAGGCCGGTTTCCGGTCGCTGCCGCACAGTGTGGGGCCGTCGCGGCCGGTTCTCGGGGCATGCGTGGCTGCCAACGGGAGTAGCCTCAGTATTTTGGGCCATGTCGTCACGTCTGTGGCAATCGGGGAGATCGCGTTGCGGGGCCCCGTGTTGGTCTCTAAGGCTTTGGCCGTACCATGTCTATTGGGCACCGATTTTTTGGCCAGGATGCCCGTTCGGATCCTGGTCGACCAGGGGTGCGTCGAAATGCCGTCGGGGTGCGGCTGCATTTTCTGCAGTCCCCCTCTGTGGTAGCTCCTTTGGACGCTAGTGTTTTGGCTCTGAGCACAAAATGTGACGGTCCCACCCGGGTTGCAGATCCTGCTTCCCCTCAGGCTGCGCGGGCCGTTGACGTTGGAGTCCCCGGAGACAGGCATCCTCCTGTCTCCCTCCAATTATTTTTCGAGGTTCGACGGGTTGGTGGGCGCTTTCACAGCCTTGGCGGCGGGCCAGGAACTTTTTTTGCAAGTCCTAAATTCGGGGCCCACGCCGATCGCAGTCCCTGTTGGTGCTGTGTTGGCACGCGCCACCCCAGGCCCTCCTCCTGATGTCCCTGGGCCGCTGGGAGGGGTGGTGGCGGGCGTGCTGCCCACGGGGAGGGCCGACGCATCATGGATTGATGCGTTGTGCACCGAGAACGCCTCGTTGTCTTCCAAGGAGCGCCAGCAGCTCCGCGATCTCATCGTCAGGTTTGCCAATGTGTTCAGCCAGGGAAAATTCAATTTGGGTCGTACCACTCTCCTTGAACATCACATTGACATGGACGACTCGGCCCCTATTCGATTGATTTCACACCACTTTAGCCCAGCGGAAAAGGATCATGTCCGCTCTGCAGTTGATGACATGTTGGCGGCGGACATTATTTCCCCTTCCACTAGCCCTTGGGGAGCCCCCATTGTGCTAGTCAAGAAACGGGACGGGAGTCTCCGCTTCTGCGTCGACTTTCATAAAATTAAACAAGATTTTAGTGGCCGATGCATATCCTTTGCCTCGCATGGACGATTCCCTCGACGCTCTCTCGGGTGCGCGGTTCTTTTCAACCCTCGATTTGCTTTCGGGCTTCTGGCAGTTGCCACTGGATGAGGCCTCTAGACCCAAGACCGCGTTCCACACATCCCAGGGGATGTTCCAATTCAATCGGCTTCCTATGGGTCTTCATTCGGCACCGGCCACCTTCCAGCGCCTCATGGAATTTGTCTTGGCGGGGCTGCAATGGGAGTCTTGTTTGATTTACTTGGACGACGTAATCGTAATTTGGACGTTCGTTTGACGAACACTTGCAGCGGTTGGAGGCAGTGTTCGCCAAAGTGTGCGCCGCAGGCTTGAAATTCAAACCACAGAAATGCTATCTGCTGCAACCATCGGTGAAGTATTTGGGCCACATTGTTAGCGCGTAAGGTGTGGCCACAGGATCCGGAAAAGACTGCTTGTGTCTGGACGTGGCCGACTTCTACATCTGTCGCTGAGGTGCGTAGCTTTGTGGGCTTCGCATCGTACTATCGCCGGTTCGTCTGCAATTTTGCGACCATTGCGAAGCCACTACACGCAATCTCTGCCAAAGGTCAGAAATTTCGCTGGGGGAAGGAGGAGGATGCGGCTTTTGTGGCGCTTCGTATGGCCTTGGCGGACGCGCCGCCCTTGGGATACCCAGATATCTCTCGGCCATTCCTCCTCGACACCGACGCCAGTGACATGGGCATTGGGGCTGTCCTGGCTCAGGTCGTCGACGGGGTGGAGCAGGTGGTGGCCTATGGTAGCCGCGTTTTGTCCTCCACTGAGCAGCGGTACTGTGTGACCAGGAGAGAGCTGCTGGCCATTGTTTTCTTTGTCCAATTGTACAGGCCATATCTGTATGGTCGCCGGTTCACCATCCAGACTGACCATGCAGCCCTGCAATATTCCCTTCGAATTGACCAGCCCTTGGGTCAGCTGTCCCGCTGGCTTGAGGTGATCCAGGAGTACCCCTTCGATGTTATCCACAGGAATGGGACTCTGCATGGGAATGCGGATGGCCTTTCCAGGCGGCCCCCGGAGGGCGAGTGCGCCTGTGCCCTGGGTTCCAGCCGCTGTAAGGCCCCAGTGGATACCACGGCCCAGTTGGTCGCATCGGCCGAAGCGGCGCCCTCTCCGGGTGTGGCGTTGCCTGTGGATTTTGGCCTGGGACTCCCCCGGGAGATATGGTCTCAGATACAGATGGAGAATTTATCTCTGCTGAGGCTGCGATGCCGTGTTGGGTCTAAGGCCCGGAGCTCGGCTCCGTCGGCTGCCCCGGTGATCGCCGTGGTGGTGCCCATTGGCTTGTGAGGTAAGTTGACCCGAGCCATTCACGAGAAACGTATGCACCTCGGCTACCACAAGACCCTGTTGACCCTTAAATGGGACTACTATTGGCCGGTCATGGAGGATGATGTGGAGCTGATTGTGAAGGGTTGCCATGACTGTGCGAGGAGGAAGGCCCCAGTTGGTCAGGATCGGGCCCCGCTGTAGTCCATCCAGGTTTCTCGTGTAAATGAGCTCGTGGCGCTTGATATTTTGGGGCCATTCCCTGCATCCCAACAGGGACACAAATACCTCTTGGTGGGGGTGGAATACCTCACACGTTGGCCTATGGCGTGGTCTCTGGTGGACCAATCGGCCTCGTCCATCACGGAGGTGTTTGTACAGGAGTATGTTCTTGATGAAGGGGCGCCAGAACAGCTCTTAACTGATCAAGTGCGGAATTTTTCTTCCCGTTTGCTCGAGGAGGTCTGTGACCTCCTTGAGACGAAGTCCGCACCTCGCCCTACCATCCCCAGTCCGACGGGATGGTAGAACGTCTGAACCGCACGCTCACGTCCATGTTGTGCCATCACATGAGCACATCCCAATCGAACTGGGACCTGTTCATCCTAGGGGTGTAGGCCGCGTAAAGGTTAGCTCCACATGCCTCGACGGGGTTCTCCCCCTTTTACCTTATGTATGGGAGAGAACCCGAGCCCCCGGTGCTCGTCCAACTGGACCTCGGTTCAGTCAAAAATGTTCGTCCATTCCCTTCCCGATGAAAGTCGTGCTCGATAGGCTGTGCGAGGCATGGCAAGCAGCTTTGGAAAATTCGGCCAGTCGGCAGGCGGCCGCCGAGTGCTTGCCTAAACACCAGGCTGTTGGTCTGCTATGGGAAAAGGGCCAGTTGGCGTGGCTGCACTGCCCCTCAGGTGCCAGTGGGCACGTCCCCTAAATTACATCGGCCATGGCAGGGCCCTGTCGAGGTAGTGGGGGTCCGCCGGCCTCAGTGTGTTCGTATCCAGCTGGGCCGGCGCCACTGGACCATGCACCCGTCGCGGCTCAAGCGCGTGGCGCTGCCCACCTTCCCTGACTCATCCCTAATTCCGGGACGGCCGGCGGTGGATGTGTCCGACGGGCCGGGTCCTGGGGATCGCCGGGATGTCACCATTGCATTGCCCTCCTGTATGCCCCCAGAGCTACCGTCATTGACACAGCCGTCGGCGGGCTTGCCGGGAGAGGTCCCCGTGGAGGCCCAGTCTCCGTCCGGAACACCGTCAGTTACGGAGGTGGACGCCGCAGGGAGCGGTGGCCCGATGTTGGAGGCGCCTGCTGCGCCGCCGCCGGCAGGATCGCCGACCGCGCCTTGTTCTGGCCATAACCCATATGGCCCGCCGCGGGACAGTGCATCGCCGGCTCCGACAGCTGACGCCGTGCGCGGGAACGGGCCGGTGGCGGGCACGCGCTCGCGGGGCAGGCGCATACACTGACGGACAGCGAA